TGTCATGGCAAATACAGTCGCTGGTTTGTTTATGTCTGTAGGCCGTTGTCGTGAATGTGGACGGTCAGAGCAGTCAGGCCTTGGTAGGCCAGGCTCACTTTATGCTGCGTTTCCATTACAGTTTCGTAGCTGGGGCAGTAACTATAGTAACACAGTGTAGGCTGACCCGTGACGTCATCTTCAATGTGAACTACAAAGCCAACATCAGCCGTTAGCTTTAGCCCTCAGAGCTCACATCTCCTCATATCTAGAAATATACTGCGTTAGCTTAGCCGATCTCCATTCAGAAAACACGCATTGCCAGCGATTCTCTCATATAGCATTTAGCATATTCAGTCCGGTTGTTGGCCCGGAAAGAACCACGATTTTGGAGGGCCGGAAAGAACCACGATTTTGGAGGGCCAGAAAAACGGCACGCTTAAACCGTGCTACGCGATGCAGTGGAAATGCGCCATTATAGACTTCAAGACAAGAAAACGAACTGCAGTTGATCCAAACTTCATTAGCTTCTAGCAACTATTTACTAGTATTTTTGAGAGAAGTCTATATCAATGTGATCGGTAGCTGTTACTGTTGCATTCCCTGCCAAATCAAACATTTTCAAGAGTATTTGATATCTTGAAATGGTCATTAGCATGCGTGCAGATCATGAGCGATTCTTAAACATAGAAAATTAAACAATCCCGATCAGAATTTCCACAATTAGTACGTACGTAGTTTCCAGGGTTGCCTCCATTACTCACTCTTGCTAGACTTAGTAGGCATTTGTTTAAATAACTTGCGCACTGTGAGTGACTGCTTAACAACCAAAACTAATCAGAGGCTTTTTCGCTGAAGGCTTCCCAGATGTAATGCGGGATTTCTAACAACGAGGAGACAGTTGATGGCTACCAGCTTTTTCCAGTGTTTAGTCTCCATGGCACAGTGCTACTAAATTAGCTTGAATAGACCATTTCCTATTGACAACAAAGGTACCTTGTATGCAGATGTCAGTGCAGTTTGCAGCTGATGTGTTGGGGTCTTTGTGGCCCCATCATCTGTGCTGACATCTGGACCATATGTCTTCTAGACTGGGGGGCCAGGGTCCGAACTTAGAATAAAAACAGTGCACTAAGGGTGGGATTAGTCCAAGGACCCGCAAGGGCATTGGTTGTAAAGAATGAAAAGGCTGCAGGCATTTTTATAAGGGGCTTCAATTTGCGTGAAAATTGAGTTATCAACAATATATGCACTTTATGGCATGTACTTCTTCATGTACTATGTGCAATAAAAATAAGAAAGGGAGAGGAAACCAAGAAATAACTCTTCCATGCCGTTTCCTAAATGCTTGGTTTCTAAGGATGATCTCTAAGGGATAGTGTGGGGAAGAGGAAGAAGAAAGAAGAAGAAGAAGAAGAAGAGGAAGAAGAAGAAGAAAGTCAGGAATGGGAAGCAAGCCAGAAGGATAAAAGTAGAGTAAGGTGGATGGGATGATGACGAGCCAGAAGGTTGCTAGTAATTAGCCATCTGAATGTCCTCATGAAATACAGATAGCTGATACAAGCAGGAGTTTCCTGGGAGATGGATTCAAATAACACAGAAAGCCTTTGTGGTGGATGATTCTCCTCTATCTCAGGGATCAGATTAAGCATAGCTCCATGAGATAGATTACTGATCTGATCGCACCATGTGTGTATACTGTATTTTGCTCAAGGATGAATTCTATACTTAAGCTACATGGAGCCAAACCTTTTGTTCAAATGAAACTTTCAATTACAGGTGACGTAGAGTGTGTTTTAGAGGTTGTTGAATAGCCCCTATTGCTTTCTGTTTTATAGAATACAAAGCTATAACAAAATGGCAAAATGCTAAAAAGATTAAAATGATTTAAATCCAGATTTATTCCCATTTCATTGGGGCAGGTTTAAATTCAGATTCCTCAGTGACTTATAGCTACCATGAGTTAACTGCTACAAACAGTCTGTGGCCACATGTCAGTTGGCTTCCAATAAACATGCCTGTGGTTAGACACCATTATGAATGGCCAACCTGCCCATTAAGGTTTACCGCCTTTCTTCTGGAACTGTGAGCTGCGTACTTGTATGTAAGGCGTTACTCCTTGCATAAATATTGCTGTCATGTGTGCCTTCACACACACACGGAAAAATGCCAATGAATCCTCTCCCAACAGCTGTTCTTCATCACAGACCTCACACTTATGTTTGCATATCTCAGGCCTACATCCTCTTCCATCTCTGAGTTTATATCTCATACTGCCGTTTTTATTATCCCACCTCAGACTGACAGGGAACCATAAACCCAAATTGGGATCAATAAAGTTCTATCTTATCTTATAACGTCATCCATCCCTCTGTCCTTAACTATCAGCTTCCCCACCTGCAGATGGGATAACATCGCTTTGTCATTGTAACGACTTTCACATGCTGTGTCTTTAAAAGTGAGTGAGTCATTCTTTTTCTTTTTTTATCCAGATTTACCAAAAACTTCAATGAAAACATATTTATTGGGTCATGTGTCCTTGGGCAAGACACTTCACCTGAACTTGCTCCTGTGGGGATTGTCCACAGTCGATGACCATTACATGTATGTATGATCTGTATATGTAATGTGTATTTGTAAAGCGCTTTGAGAGTCATTGATAAAGCGCTATAATAAATATAAGGATTATTATTATTATTATTATAAAAGTCTATTTTAACAACAATTTAGTAGAAACAAGAGTAGGATATCAATCAATGATTTCAATAACCCATAAACTAATAGAGAGAAAGGAAACAAGTATATAGGTCAATGAAAAGTTTAACGTAACCTTTTCCGCCTTAGATGCCAGCTATAAGTCTGTTCAACTCTGCACAAGTCATTATTTTGTGTAATTTTTGACATACTAGATTCTTGATTTGTTGGGATCCAGTTATGGTTCCAGTTATGTAACCCTGCTCTTCGGAAAATTATCAACTTCCACGAACCAATGAGGTGTGAGATACTGTTTCAGATGACCGACCTTCTGCATTACAGTCCTGTCAGTCAAATAAACAGTGGTGTTTGGTGGTCGATGGAATGCCGACTGTAAATGAAGAAAAACACCTCCAAATGTTGGGCTATGCGTGATATTCAAACTATTTGGTATACTTAACACGTTATTTTAAGCAATTTCTGAATGAAATAATTATTGTAATTTACTCTTGGACTCTCAGTGGAAGCATGAAGCCCTTTTAGCTTTCTGATCACGAACCCAGAAGGCAACAAGAGACCAGTATGAGCTCCAGTATCTATGGAGAAATGTAAGAATGTCATAGTAATCTATCTCCAACCCCAGTGGAGAGGAGGATGAGGATACGGTTGAGCTCCTTGGCTCGGTTTCGCCCCCCCAGTCAATTTTTTCCTTTTTTTGACCTTGCCAGCAGCCCAGTAGGGATGTTCTGTTCTGAGTCCATCCACAGCCACTCCAGATAAGGAGCCGGTCCAAGAGGAAAACGTTTTCCAACAGAAAACGACAGCAGGGGTGAGATAAGGCACTCAGAATTCGTCATCAAAAGAGATCAGAAATGGAAGAAATGAATGGAGTGGAGGGGGACAGGGAAGGATGCATTCTTATTGTGATTGTAGTAATGTGTTTTTAATACATGTACAGCACTTTGGCTCGACCAAAAATCGCTTTTAAATGCTTTATAAATAAATAAACCTTGATTTGATTCTAACATGCCATTTTTTGAATGAATGAAGGCAAAAACAAACTACAGTGGTTTCGAATTCAGCTATTCTTTAACCACGGCAGTTGCCCTTTGGCGTGTACTGACAGTTTCAGATGAAGCCTCAAGGCCAATTTCAGCTTCTTCATATCCAGAGGAAAGTCTGGGAAGGACAACACAGGGATGTTGAAACTCCCACACCACAAAACATTCCAAGTCTTCCTCTCTCGGGTTTTTTTTTTTCGATGCCACTATCAGAGCAAAGCATTCTGGTGCTTTTTCAATCTGCCCTCCTTCTTCAGCTGCATAGCAAATAATTATTAACAGGATCAAAGCATATGAAAGGGCTTGTGCGTCAGCGAAGTTGAGCTTTAGGAGCCGGGTGACTGAAAGCGATAAAGGCAAAGCACTGAATTGTTTCTGCTCTCTATATGCAGAACTGGGGTCTCTGAGCTCTGCAATTAATGCTGGCTGAATTGAGAAAGCTCTCTAGATTATTCAAAGGTAAATCAATTTCCTCTGGTGGAAATTAAAGTTCTTTCCAGATTTCTGCATAAAACTTTGAGGCGTATCTGACTAGGGAGAATCCCCTGAGCATGTCAAATTCATGGGACATTCAACGTGAATCCTAAAATATATTTTTATAGGGGCAATTTAAAACTGACTTAGATATATTCAGTCAAACATAATGGCCGGGGGAAAATGTATCCTGAGGAAATATACTTCCTGGAGCAAAACCAGTATAACGAGCCGTACTGTATCTCTGCACACAATCAGATTCTCCTCAGTGACTGCACGGTCACATGACCATACACACTGTTGAAGTACTGTCGCTTTAAAGCAACCTGCCTTTGTATGCTTCACAAGCCCAGTTGGAATTGGACAATTCGATGCTTGACAAGTGTATGTGGATGCTTTAGNCCCTGATTCAAAGTCCAGCACTCTATCCACTGAGCCGAGCCACAGCCGCCCAGCTCAAATGAATTTGATGTACCTTAAAGGTGACCTATCATGTAAAATGCACTTTTGTACGTCTTTTATACATGAATATGTGTCCCCGGTGTTCCAGGGAACTCACCAAGTGTCAGAAAACACAACCCTCTCTATTTTCCTCCATACCCAAATCTCTTAAAAAGGGGCTGCAACGGATCTGATCCAGATTTGAACACTTCTATGACGTCACAGAAGTGGCGCTACGGCTATTGGGCCAACTCCACCAATCAGAAGGAGACAGCCACGGACATTGCCGTTCGAAAGCGCTGGAGACGCTGTAGTACATATGCCAGGCCTGTAGATGGTGCTGTTCTCACAGAATCAGCCCATGCAAAGACAGTTTTAAATTGAGCGAAATGAGGAATGGCTAAAATGCATGATCTGTTTGGTATTTTGAAAAATAAAAAGTATAAATATGCCTTATATAGGTATGCTCCTACACAATATTATTCAAATATAGCATGATAGATCCACTTTAACCATGGTTGAAAAGTTATTAAATCTATACATCATCTTTAAGATACGCTAATATTTTTTATTTCCCATGTCACATCGGTATCACTTTCAAGTGCACCTCGTGGAGACCAGTAATACATATTTTATGAGTTAATGTAAATGGAACTGATTGTTTTAAATGGGCATATGATATATATCTTATATCGTAACCTCTTCTAATTGAATAGATTTGAAAATATTTTTAAATGTGATATTGGATCCTTAGCCAAAGACTCTATAATATAATATCATTTTGAGAAGAAACTTTTCATCATGTGTTTCTTCACCTGCCCCAATGCTCCCATAGGCCAGGTGGGGGGGGATGGTGATCCTCCTTTTCTCATTGACACACATGCCCTGAAGGCCTCGGTCCATCCCAGCGATCAGTCTGCCAAAGCCCACCTGGCTGATGAAGGCCTTGCCTCGGTCATAGCTGTAAACAGAGAAGAGAGCAGGTTGAGAGGGCATAATCAATGGAAACCACTGACGGTAGTTAAGTAGGTTGAAGGATCCAATTAGAAGGCAGCATAAGAAAAAAGTAATGCTCTATTGTAAAAAGCTAACGTCATGGTGCTATGAAAATGTTATGGTGATATAAATAAGCATTCAATGTTCCATCCACATTAGCAGTATTATAAAAAAGGACAATATGGGCCTCATGGCTGCATCATAATCAACCATTTTTTTAAAATATTTAAACTTTAAAAACTGGGAAGTCAACAAAAGACACAATTGATTTTGAATACTTAATTAATGCCTCGATTAAAGTCCTTTATTTATATAGTTGCATTGACAATTTCAATGTGATATGGCGATTGACACGTCTGCAGTTGTAATCTCAGTAAATGATCTGTGAATACATCAGGAAAAATGGTCGCATTTCAATGTGGTATTGTCTCCAGGAAAGTAAATAACAATACCTTACAAAGACTTTCTTATCCCACTTTGCAACACAATTTCAGCAAGAGCTAATATGACATGGTGCATGCTGGGTTCCATTATACTTTTGCAGATGCATGTGAGGTTTGATGTTACTGTAGCTCGTTGTTTACTTCACAACATATGTAGAGAGACAAACTTAAGGTTGTGAATGAGCTCAGTCTAAACTAATTGTATTTACATTCAATTATGTTTTTTGCTGTAACTGCACCTGGAGTCAAACTTTTTCCCGTCTTCAAAGAAGGTTCCGTTAAAGTGATAACGGATAAAATCGTCAGTCCCCACTTCTCGAGGACAAACTCTCGGTATGTCGTACCGATCCACAACAACGTCCACAAAATTACAATAAACTGTAAGTACATGAAGGCAAAATAAAGCACTATATATTAACAGATCCATTTGAGCAGTTGTGACAATAACTGCAGAAGAGAGTCTGTAACGGGGGAGTGATGAGGTTAAAGAAGAGTGGAGAGAAGTACAGAAGACAGACGAGCTGGGTCAAGATTGTCGAGTTGAGACTGACTACTTCCGGTTAAAATTACAAAAATAAAAGCCTTCTGAAACAACAAGGGATCTGATGACAGACTATTAACTGTTAAATAAACGGATACACACACAGGCAGAGGTGGAAGTACTCAGATCTTGTACTTGAGTGAAAGTAGAAGTACTAGAGTGTAGGAATACTCTGTTACAGTAATAGTCCTGCATTCAAAATGTTACTCAAGTACAAGTATAAAGGTAAAAGCATGCAAATGTACTTAAAGTACCAAAATTAAAAATACTCATTATGCAAATGTATCAATTTCAGAATAATATAAATGATATGTTTTGATTATAATTATTGATGCATTAAACTAGATCACTTTGCATGCTGCAGGGTAGCTTGTGAATTTACTCCAGGTGTAACTAAAGTCTTAAATAAGTGTTGAATATATATTTCACATCAATAAAACCAAATCTGCAAGTAATTAAAGGCATTAAAGAAATGTTGCCGAGTATACCTCTGAATTGTAGTTGAGTAGCCTACAAGTACAAAGTAGCATAAAATGGAAATACCAACCAAATGTCTTTGACACGTGAATGCTGGTTGAACTATACGATTAAGAAACGCATTGGAATAATTATGGTCAATATTTCTTGTGTACATTTTCAATAACTTCACAATATTTTATAGTAAGTACTAAAAAGTACTACTAATTTAAATGATCCCCTGTTGGTTACACTTCCCTAATACGTTATAAGTTGTTTTTTTTTTACTATTTAACAGTGCAGTGCAACAACAATGCTTTGCCACATCAATGATCTACTGCTAGTTGTGCTACACTGGTCAAATATGCTTTAAACAAATGTTGGTGTATATTTACATTTAACTATTTTTAACAACTTCGCTCTTTATATTTATTTAAGTAAAGAGAAAAAAGCATTTACTTTGTGCTTTTACTTTGGACTGGAAACGACCCAACTTCCGGCCTTTGTTGTCTCTGTCTTGCTTGATGCATCTTGGGATGTGAACTCCTCAGAGCAGCAGGAGGTGTGGCCCCTGGGCCCCCGCCCTCTTTTTAATGGAATTCTGCAAACGTGTAATGCCTGGCCCAGAGGCCTGACTGCCCCCATAGTCTCACTCATGAGTTGAGCCGAAAATTATAAATCTGTATCATCTGAAGGTAATCTTTAGTTTCAGAGTAAACAGTTTGGCTTACTGTTATACTGCAACTTACAATCAGTTATTACAGTCCACACTTCTTGGAGACTTCTGTCTGAATTACAATAAAAGGCCCTGGGTCCTAATAAGCATCCTACTCAGAGTTCTATCAAAACATGCCTAGTCTGATCTTTATGAATGTGGAATGATACAGATATTGCAGACTCAGGTGTTATATTTGCCCAAAATCAAACATGCAAATTATTTTTGATCTCACCAACCCAAGTCTCAGCCTGTCAGTTTTAGCCTCGGAATGTGGACAACCAAGATAAAAAACAACTCTTAAAACTCTTTAGACAAATGTTCAGTCAATATTATTTATGAATACACCATATTCCCACAGTTAGAGAGCTGCAGGGAACATTAGTTCAAGTATATACACATTAAACGACTATATCCCTGTTTTTAAGTAACATTTTTCGTTCAGGGGTCTGTTGAGTGTTATGACCGCCTGTAAATCACTGAGGAAGGTCCTATCAGTCCAAATGCTCTCACGTTTGTCAAGCACAACATATTTATCACCATGTAAACCGGAAATAATGACTTGTTTTTTCAAGGTAATTGAAAAGAGTATAATGGGCTGTAGGGCTGGCAGAGACCATTTTACCTGATTAATATTGTAAGTTTTTTTTTACAAGTTTCTTGATCAAAATTATTTAAGTAAATAATAATAGAGAAGTCTACTGCAGGCCAAAACAATTACTTAGAGATTAATAAATGCACAAATTAAGTTCCTGTATTTTTAAATTAAATGAATGCCTTGTGGAAGTAAATGGAGTGGAGACAAACCACATACAATATCTAAAACACTCAGCCTGCTAAGTGAGACTTGTTTCATTATAAATATGTATGTGAAAATTGGAGTAAATGTGCCCAAAATAAAAAAGATCCATCAAACAAATCAGTGCAACTTTTATTTTGAAAATCATAGCCAGAAGTTCTTGTTTTCAGCATCTGGTTTGTCGCAGCTTTCACATACGTGCAAGCAGACATGTACATTCCCTGGTGAAGAGAGGAAGTTTCCTGCTCCATTCAAAACAAGAACTCCTGCTGGAGCCAGCCGAGGTAACGATGCTCCTCAAGGGCTTGTTTCTGGCCCTGCTCCTCCCGGCCCTGGTGCAGGCTCAGTATGAGATGTACAGCTTTAAAAGTTTCCCCCAGAAGGACATCATGCCGCTGGACTCCTCATACAACTACGCACTGGAACAGTACGGGGCCGAGAACTGGGCAGAGAGCATCAAGTTCTTGGAGCTCAGCCTGAGGCTCCACCGGCTGCTGCGGGACAGCGAGGCGTTCTGCAGCCGCAACTGCAGCTCCGTGAGCCGGGACAACGGCTCTGTGTCCGCCGACAGCAGCCTCCGCGTTGTGCGCCACATCCTCCTGAGGGCTGCGTGCCTTAAAAAGTGCAAGGCAGATTTTCCAGTGTTTAAAATCTCATACCCACGGAGGGATTTACTGGAAAGTTTCGAGAAAAGAGTACCGTATCGGTACATACAGTATGCACATTACCAGGTGAGAGCAAAGGCTTGATGTGTCGACATTTGTGCCAAAGACTGGAATGCAAAAATAAATGTAGGCCTACGTTATGAAGTTACACCAAAGTGGATGTTATAAGAATGTCAAATAAATTGCGATGTGGCTGTTATGATGTCATTATAATTTATAATAACAGTAGTAGCATACAGTAGCCTACATGTGATTGAGCATTAGCTGTGCGTAACGGGCGCTATTGCACAGCAAAATCATTTGCAGTCGGTTTCCTAAAGCACATTGACTGAGTTTGACTCACGGAGAGGTAATATGTGGCTGGTCGGTGTGCTGTATAGTTTCCCTGCTGCTTTGTTGCTCCCTCCTGCTGAGCGAGCCGGAGTTGAGCATGTGCCACGTCTCTTCCAGTGTTTCCCCCAAACAACCCCTTATTATGCTCTGCCGGCAGGGTGATGGGGACAGGTTACAAGGCAAAAACACTGACCTTATTTAGCTTTTCATAAAGTCTTTAAAGATCTCCAGGTAATCTTCATGTCATTGTAAATACACAGCCACCACCAGCCCTTTAACTGTGATCCTCCATAAACTAAATTAAGTAATTGACATGACACCATTGAATTAGAATTAATTGGAATAGTTTATATTATTCTTGTAAATTCAAAGGTGAATCAAAGCTCTCAATATGGTGATCAAAAACCCATACATAAACTTTTACATTACTTTGATTTTACTCACTATTTTTGTTTTACAACCATGAACCTAAGCAATTGTTGTAAGTATCAGTATTTCTATCACATTTATGCATAAAGCACCACAGCAGTCTTTTCCCTGACTCAACAAAAAATCATATTCTGACATCAGTGGTCCATGATGATGTCAGTATGAGAGATATGTTTCATAATTAAATGAATGTAATACCCCAAATGCTTTGATATCCATTGTAAAGCGTATCTACTCTTCCTCAGATGAACAACTTGGAGAAGGCCGTGTCAGCGGCTCACACCTTCCTGAAGAAGAACCCAACTGATCCCTATCTGATCAAGAACATGAACTACTACAAGACACTGTTTGATGTGGAGGAACATCTCATCGACCAAGAGGAGCAGCCGTATGAAGTTTGTAGAATAACATTGAAGTTATTATCTAGTGGACGAATTAAACCCATGCTAAACTATCCCTATCCACACGTCTCTCTTTGTTATCCAGAGTGTTTTCGTCAAAAGTGTGACGCTTTACAACAGCGGTGACTTCAGCAGCAGTGCCCAAAACATGGAACAGGCCATCACGCAGTACTTTGAAGTGTACAGTCTCTGCTTGGCAGGCTGCGAGGGCTCATATGAGATTGTGGAGGTCAAAGACTTTTATCCCACCCTGGCAGGTAAGGCGACAAACCCCAGACTCAAAACTGTTTAATTGAACAGGTGAATTCTGAAATATTGGGCTCTTTTACTTATATAACATCTTTCAGACTACTGAAAAGGAAACATCCATTATATTTCAGGACGAAAAACATTTTAATGTTACTTATCATCTGGGGAGGTTTCATAGTGATATCTATCAGTTGAAATGTGTACATATTTTTTATCTGAAGTGCGTCCATGTAAGAAGAAGGTAATTTAAAAGCTGTTAAAATGTTTTAGATACTCAATAATATGCTTGTTTTTTCTCCAGATCTTTACACTAATGTGCTGAAATGTAAGGTACAATGTGAAGAGCACCTGAAGCCCAACGTTGGAGGCTTCTTTGTGGAGAAGTTTGTCGCCACCATGTATCATTACCTCCAGTTCTCCTATTATAAATGTAAGAACTATGACTCTGGATTCAGGCTTTTGACAGCAGTATGTGTAGGATTGTTTTGAACACATATTATTTTGTGGTCCTTTACAGTGAATGATGTAAAGAACGCTGCTCCGTGTGCAGCCAGTTACATGCTGTTCGACCGTAATGACCAGGTGATGCAACAAAATGTAGTGTACTATCGCTTCTACCGGGAGCAGTGGGGACTCGAGGAAGACGACTTCCAGCCTCGGCCTGTGAGTGAATCAAAGACCTCATTACTCTTCTGGGTGAACCAGAGGCAGCAGAAAGTGTTAGCACATTTAACACAGGCTGTTCTTAACCGAAGAAGGAAAACTATAGCATAAAGCGGTCTTAGCGTTAAAGAGCATCTTGCAGGTTTTTATTTTTTTTACATTTATGCTTAAACTTGCTTGAAAATTACAATTAAAAAAGTGAATGCAGGATTTGATGTGTTTTACGAGACATAAGGGCAGGAATTCAGAGTGAAAGGAGCAATTTTGAGCTCTGCTCTTAAAAACGGCTTTTTTTTAAGGTCATACGTCAAACGCGTCATATTACATCACACAGGGGACACATCTCCGCTCTCTGACCGCGGGTATAGTAGAGTTGTGTTGAGTAGAGCGGTTGTGTTTTAAGGAGCTGGTATTTTTCGGTAGTTTTACATTGTATTTCACCATTTGTAATCATGGTGCAGTATTGTGTTTATGCAGGTTGCACAAATACCAGCAGCCTGTCAGGACATCGAGTCCACAGTAAAAAGGACCGGAGCTAGCGTTCGTTCCTGGGTGCGTTGTGCATCCACCTCCCTGCAGCACATACTCTCCACAGCTTTATCAGGAAACCGTATTACTTCTAACATTCTGTAGCTAACGCCGGTCACTCACCAAGATAGCTGCCCAGTTCTCCACTGGTTCTCCTCACACCACAGCTCAATTTCTCTCCGATGGCCGTTATTTCTTCTAATCCTTGGCTGCTCCTGGTCTCTTGGACGCCTAGCAGGCTCATAATTATAAGGTTGTGGTCCGTGATATGCATTCGAATATTCATGTTCAACTTATTCTGTGTCTTCTGTGTCGAAACTAGCATTGGGATCCATGTTTATTAATACGTTACACCGGCCGCTCTCCCCCTTGTGTCCCCCGTGTTACGTCACACGCGGGAGGTCACATGCCGAGGCTTTTTTATGCGGAAGTGAACATTTCTTACAAAAACGACGCCAGATGTCACTGTAGTGTATATTTCTGTATATTTTTTTGAAAATCTAGTGTATTCATCATTTTCCTACACATTTATTCACAGGTGTCTTTAACCTGGAAGTTGCTATTTAAGATTAACACGATCTCAGGGTGGTCATTAGAAAGCCATGTTTTCCTGTAAAAATACTTGTTTCCTATATTTTTTCAGCTTGTTGCAGAGTTGTCAACAGCTGCAGTGTACTAGCTGTTTTTCTTCTGAAGCTGCCCAAGCCTCAATCAAATTTGGCACTGTTGTAAATACTTTAAGGCGTCCACAGTGAGAGGCAGTAAACAAAAGCACACCAGGCCAAATTTGTTTTTCTTAGTGAAATAAAACAGGCTTTGGCTTGTTTGTGCCTTCTGCTGATGTTCTTTTTGTTTTTCAGGAGGCCCTGAAGTTCTTTAACGAGACAACCAAGCAGAAAGAGATGCTGGAGTTTGCACTGAACTACCTACAGACTGACGATGAGGTATGTTCTACTGGGCAGCGGAGTGATAATGTTAGCCTAGATAACTTGCTTAATGTCTGGATAATTGAGTTATCCCATGAACATGTCTGTGAAGCAAGCCTTTGTAACTTTTGTTAAAATGGCACCACTGCATACACAAGTGACAATTGTAAAAATAATGTTAAATGCTTAATCAGTGTAGCAGTAGCTGTAATATGTCTCTACCTTCTGTCTGCTAACATTAACAACCATAAGCTAATTGTCATACCAGACTGTAGCTGAAAAACTGTTGAGTATCATACATCTATGTATACATTTTTCTATAAATTCAAAATATATTGCAGAATCCTTATTAATATATCATCTGACAAATGAAAGATTTAAAGGACCATTTCACCTAAACAAGACGTGTAAAATGACTTACCCCAAGTAGCGGTATCTCAGTGTGATTTGATCTGATGACGTTTTCAGATGTCCATTCCAGAGATTCTTTTTTTAACTGCACACACTAAATTCCATCAACCTCTATTGTGCTAGAGTGGCGGCTAGAGTCAGACAGTTTTATCTTCTGAGGTTTAGAGATGTCTGCATGACTAGACAACCTGAGGGGTGCTCATGTATCCAAATGTGAACTGACACTTGAACTTTTCTCAACAATAATTAAAGTGGATGTTGTAGTGTGAGTTTGGGATTTTCTTTTGTTTATTAAATAACTTAAAGAGGCCCTATCATGCTTATTTTCAGATTTATTGGATTTCTGCCTCTACTGTTATAAGTTTGCATGCTTTAAAGTTCAAAAGGCTCTTTATTTTTCTCATACTTCCTGTGCTGCATCACCTCTTTTCACCCTCTGTCTGAAACCAGAGCCCAGTCTGCTCTGATTGGTTAGCTGGCCAGCTCTGTTGTAATTGGCCAATGTCCCACACCTTAGCCTTTCACGTTCAATGTGTTGGAGCACTAGCCAACACAAGAGCGACTGTTGCATAGTGATGTCACCATGTTACATGAGTAAACAAAGGAGTCAAATGGAGGCGTTTCAGACAAGGGGGGGGGGGGGAGTGTGTGGGAGTGAAACTCTCTCTGGAGGGATTTTAGCCTTTGCAGACCCTTTACATGAACACAAACCTATAGCACACACTACAGGAAAGAGAAATCACCAAGAAGCCCCTAAAATATGTTTGGGGATGTAAACTTTTACTATGCAGGATTTAACTAGCAGACTAAATGCAAGCTGCTGTTGAGGTTATGGAAATGGAAGCAGGACAAAAAAGTCTAAGAGGATGAAAGAGATAGAAAGAGGGGAGGGAGGCTGCGGAAGAGAAAGCAGGAGGGGGGCTGCGCTTTCCGCCAGCAGCGTGTGGTATGTGGCTGAGAGGTGTTGGCCACTGAGGCTGTGCCACATCCATTTAACTCCGTCAGCCCCTCCCACCCTGCCTGGACCTGAGGCTGGGGGGGGAGGACGCAGAGTTTAAACTGAATTACAGGATGCACAAGTGACAGATTTACAGACATGAAAAGGAAAAAGTAGGTTTTTGGCAGATCAAATGAAAGAATGTAAGATGATTGCTGTTGACTGTGAGTACTTTGTGTTGTCTTTTTAAGGACGAGGTGAGTCCAGAAGAAACGGCCTCCCCTCACACGCCGCACTCTGACGCTGAGTTCGAGGGGATGGGAGACTACGAGGAGGCCTTCCTGGCTGACTGGTGGCAAGAACCCAAAACTAAGTGGGACGCAGGGGAGGTTTCAGACTGACCTGGCTTCCTGTGCAGAACACTTCTTCATTTGGCTCTATTCCACCTTTAATGGCGACAAACCACAGGATGCTGACCTCCATGCACACAGACACTGACATGCACAACAGTATTTTGCAGAGAAAGCACAACTAGGCTGTGTACTTTCATCCAGCTGAAGAATAAAACGACAAATATATCCATCATGTTGATAAGGAATCAGATTGACATATTGTGTCTGGGCTGCCATCAGCCTTTTTAAACTGTTATTGTTTTATTAATAATTGGCCTCTATTCCAATACCTGTCAAGGACTTTTATGCAGTTTTTATTTAATAAAAGCTGAATGCCTCTGTGCGGTGATTTAAGGAAAGTGATTTTGCTTTTAAATAACAATTTCTCATTCCTCAACTGGGTTTTTGTTGTAATAATTTGCTTATAAATAAAGTAATATTTTAATATACCTTTTTTGTTACTTAATATTCCATTAGATTATTGGAAAAGTATAAGGCGCACCAACTCCCTACATTTGATTGGTTTAGACTGGTTGAAAATAGTCAGATGCCTGTTCTACTTTCACAAATGTCAGGTCTGCTTTTTCTCATTTTTATTTTGTAAATTGTAGCGGTTTTATCTATTTAGCCAGATTAAAGACAAATGAACAAATCAAAGACGCCAGTTTGGACTCTGAGAAACTAACAGTGATTTTTGCAGTTAATTGATTTTAGAAAAAAAAAATCTATTACATGAATTAATAATACAAATAATCGTCAGTCAAATATAGATAGATGATCTTCAAATTATACATCATTTAAGTAAAAATATGAATGTTTAATTTTAAACCTTTGCGCCCTTGTTTTCTTTATACCCACTATAATATATAATCATTATATATCACAATTATGAACTTTCAGAAGCAGAAAACCAAAGCATTGAAAAAGTCTAATCATTTATTAAAATCATGAACTATAAATACCAAAAAAAAAGCAAGGTAGCCAGAGATGAAGGTGTGTTTGAAATGTTTCAGTATTTTATTTTCCTTCATTGTTAAATCAACTGCAATCCTTTAGTTAATTTCTCTCTTTTTGTCTCAATTCGAAAAGATTGTGTCTAAAAATATGGGATACGATTGATCTTATTCTCTTTTTTTTATTTACCTTAAACTTTTGAATCAAACAGATTGTATTTCATTCCGCTGTACATTTTCTAATTACAATAGTGCAGCTGCCATAGTGCAAAGCTCAAATGAACCAAACTGACCTACGTACAGTTTCAGACGAGCTGCCTCCTGGACCCCCCCCCCCCTTAGATCTCTTTAATCTCATTTACAGCAAGATCATCACAAAGCCTCTTGGTGGAGCTGTTCACCCAGGGCTCAGGGCCATCAACAATGTACAAAATATCCTGGACATCTAAGGGACAGCTGGAATGATAAGAGTGAGAGATTCATGGACAGTGTTGAATATTGGAGAGATCTGCAGATGTCTTGTCAGAATACAACTCATTATTTTAACATAGCTTTTAAATACATCTTCATACAGTGCATTCAGTCATTCTTGCACATATTTACAAATAAGTGTGCATACAATTGGCTAGTGCTCCTTTTCTGTAGATACATTAAATAAAAACAGTTTCATTCTGTATTAATGTGCTGCCTTTATGGTTCCCTGGCAGCAGTTTGTAGAAAGAGATGATATTCTAAGGTTGAAAACCTGCCAATCTACTGTAATAGGAGGAGTGTTAAAGTGTACATGGACACAAACGGCCCCTAGCACTAATGTAAACACACATACATTCTTACTTTCTTTAAAAATCTCTTACATGCGTACATTCATCTGTGAACAGACATACAGATCCGACCTGGGAGAGGGTACACACTTTGGGTCTGAAAGTGGTGAGCACACAGGCAGATAAAGTCGAATGTATGTCGGCTTGAAAACACTAAGTTACGGTCTCTGCTGAAGTTCAGTTGTTTTTAAAATGATCCCAAAACTATGACACCTTGCTTCCCTTTTTGTACCTGAAAACTTGCGTAAGGGGGCAGGTAAGATGCCACAAGTTTAAAGAACAAATAGCGATGAACATAAACTCGGCTATCAGTCTGGGATCTGGCTAGTGACTGACTGGTTTTTGAGCCTTCGGTTGAGCCCTTCCACATCAGTCCACTGTTTTCTTTTCAAATTCATGGTGCCAGACTTGTGGATTAAAACAGACTATTGTTCACTTTGAGGGCCTGTCCTTTGAGGAACTGTGCCTTGGGTCATTTTCAAAAGAAAGCAACCAGCTCCTTTTACATTAGTTTAGTCTATTAGAAGTCCTGTCTGTCCAACATTTAGCTGTGGACTCATTTGGTGGCCAGATTAATTTGTATCCAGACAGGCAGGCAAGACAAGTCAGATGACAAATTGGACGTCGATATGTTCTTCATCAGACTGTTCAAAAGGAAGTGCACAGACACCGAATCACACTCTAATGGCCCGTCCACACAGCGGCGTGCGTTGAAGCTTCAACGCTTCTGCCCATTAACTTTGAATGGGGTGACGTCACGCTTCGCCATTGTGGGAGCGAAGCAATGTTCAACTTTTGAAGGTTCGGCGGAAGCGTCAGCCAATCGAATCATATGCCAGTACAAGCTCTAGCTGTGTGGACGGGCCGTAAGGGCCACCAGACTGGAGGAAGACCCCGGTGTGTCTCAGGGGACGGACCCCCTGCTCGGGACCACACACAGTCCTCGGTGGCGACGATGGAAGCAGCCACAACAATTCTGAATTGGCTGGTTTGGTGAATGGAGCTCCGCGGGGCCCGGATGGAGGACGGACGATAGGAGGAGACGGTAATCAATAGAGGTTTGGAGAAATTTAAGATGTGGAAGACTTTTTTTTTGTTTCCCTCTTCTCTGATGTGGAAAGGACACAGTGCGAGGAGGAAGACAGGAGTAGACAGGACAGACAGACAGAGAGACAGACACATCTTATCCACCGCCAGATCTGAAAGAGAAGGGAAAACGGAGACAGGTAAGAGAAAGAAAAACAAACTGTGTAGGCGACAGGAGAGGAAGTTGATTTAGAAATGGAAATGCTATTCTGCTTTGCGATGATAAAGGGAATATTATGGGATAAGGGACAGGAATGGGGAGTTTTTTAAGCAAGAATTGGAATGGGATGAAAGCAGAAGGAGCAGTGGGATGAACAGGACGCATGAGGCCCTGTGGGGACAAACCAAGGGGAGAACTTGAGGCGGTGACTGAGGGAGTAAGGATCCATGGTGAGGGGTTTTGGGATGTTTTGTGATGCTGCTCCATGAACAGAATATCAGAAGTTCGTGCAGGTTATACCTTCCTCTCCGGATGTTCCTGCATCCAGTGAAGACACGTCAAGAGAAAAGACAAGAACAAAGACATGTCAATATCAAAAGGAAATGATGACAAACTCACAAATAATTTTTTTTTTAAGAAGCATGTAACGAAGCTGATCATCAAACAAACAAGCAGGCTTCCTTTGTGGCTTCAATCAAGCTTTAGTTCTGCTGTAAGATACCAAATCATTCAAAAGGCAGATGCTATTTTATCCCATAAACATTACCTTGTGAACAATGTGAAGTTAAAGCAAACAAAATAACTGGTATATTGCCACTTGAATTGTCATATCAAATCTGAATGAATATTTTATTTCCCTTAAGAATAAGATTTAACAAAACTACACTCAGTAATTCCTTCAGTCCATTATTCATCTTCCAGTCCTCTCCAAAACATGTTCTGCCAGATTACAGTGATGGCATCACATGCAGTATGTACAGGAGTCATTGCACTGACCCTTCAGCCCCCCCCAGCCCAAGGTCTCATTCGGATAACTTCGTACAGCTTCTCACATGCACAGACTCTTACCTCGGGCCCTAAAAGGACTGGCTGCATGCCATCAGTTATAAACATTTTGTCTTCAAATAACAAGGCTTTTCATCAGCCTCCATTTCTTATTATCTAAGAGCAGTCCTTTTAGATCAGAGTGTAAGGATTGAACCAGAGCAACATGCAGACGTAGAACAGAGCAGAATGAGCGGCATTAGGGGGTTAGGATGCAGCCTGTAGGAGAACAACTGGGTATTGCGGGCTAAGGGAGCATCAACGATTAAACACATATTTCTGAAAAAGCCTATTTAATTAAATGTTTTCATAAAAGGATAATAAATCTAGTGGATCCAAGAGAGAGAAGCTCTGCAGCGGTCTCTGGCAGATCAATGTCTCTGTCCTGCCCTTACACTAAAAGGGACGGAGAGGTGCATGGTGTTCCTCAGGGTTCATTAATGGTTTGATAAAAACAAGGAAAACGGTGTGACGTTGCGTAAGGAATTTGGCGCTAAAAGCAGCATTAGAACAGACAAGCTCTGACTCCCTTTTGGACGATGAGTTGCAAACGGGCATCAAGTGGTTCTGAGTGAGAGTGGGAGGAGCGGGGGTCCTTTAGGTAGAAGCAGACAGGTACACAAAGGCATGCCATAACTCTTACTTAAATCCCCATCCTGTCCCCCCTAGGACTATAGCTGCCAGGAGAATAGCCCCTGCGATGGACCCTATTATGATATTGGTTCCACTGGGACCTGCGCAGAGGAAGGAGTAGGGAGGAAGGGTGCGGAAGAGGAAGAGGAGGGGCAGAAACAAAACAACACCACTAAAAAACACACGTTAGAGGACAGCATCAACACTGTACATCAACAACGATAATTAGAGAGAGAGAGAGAGAGAGAGAAATGCAGATGGTGGGATACCTGCAGACAGAGAAAGAGAGATGGAGGAGAGGAGGAGGAGGATACCAGCACATGGGGTGGAGGTGGGAGAACGGGGAGGTGAGCGAGGGAGGTCAGGGAGACAACAGTAACAAAACAAAGGAGAGAGAGTTTTATTACTTTGTGTTTATTCCCCCTCTCCTGCTCTCAGCTGGACACCCTCTGGTACTTTAAGGCCCTATGAGCTACTGCTCTATTGCTCTGTGTCAAGGGCAGACTGCGAGAAAGTAAGGAAGACACTTAAAGATGGCTCTGGGCCTGCAAGAGACACACACACACACACACACACACACACACACACACACACACACACACACACACACACACACACACACACACACACACACACACACACACACACACACACAAATAGATAAACGTGTTCCAACACACACCCACTCTCTCCGAACATTGAAACCAAGACGCGGCAGAAAGGCAAACACTGTGGTCTAGAAAAGGAGGTTAAAGGGAGAGTTTAGATAGTTTGAAGTGGGAATGAATGAGGGACTTATCAATAGGCATTGTATTACATGCAGTAGATCATGGGTTCCCAACCTTTTTAAAAGAAAAGAGCCCCCCCAAATGACTCCTGTTGGAAGTTGCTCCCCCCCCCAACACACACAAGGGGGGGCGCAACAGCGGTAATTAAAGTTTAAAAGTCTCAAAAATGCAAAAACTACTGTCACAAACTCGATGAATGTGAAGTATTTTGTTCAAGGAGGATGAAAGCGTATTTAAGGAGCACTATTGGAGTGACTTTGATGGTTATTGGACTCAGGATTCATTCATTTTGATTCCCGCTGTATGAAGAAATTAAAGGACGACGCAAGTGGAAACAATTCACAAAGGGATTCAACTGTTTAAAACACATGCTCAAAGTAAGCAGGATTTTGTCGATGTGTTTATGTGGATTCAAAAGTCGTAAATAATCTACAAAATTGAGGAGACCGATCTGATCGGAGCAACTGTGACAAATAATCCAACTAAAACCGGCATGGACAATGACTATGTTTTAAAAATACGCTTATCCAGAAAAGCCAGAAGAAACATTTCTATTAAAGAAATAATTATAAATTTCTGTCTTTTTATGCCTATAGCTACTAACTTGAATTTGTTATTCAAACGAATTAATCAATTATTTTTATTTTTTTATTGTAATGTAGAGACAAGGCTTTTAGTGACAGTCATGTGTTGCGTTACAATTACTGTATATGTTAAAAAAAAAAAAAGTCTAAATATGATATTTGGCCTCAAATCATCTGAGGCCTGGCGCCCCCCCCTGCGATATTTGGCTCCCCCCCCAAGGGGGGCGCACCCCCCAGGTTGGGAACCACTGTAGTAGATGATGGTAGGCGGGTCCCAGTTTTGAGAAGCAGACAGGAGTAGAGGCAGAGAAGCTAAGCAATGTACTGCTGTGGAGGGGGACAGCAGCAAATAAAAAACAGCCCACCTAAATAAATCAGTGTTGTCTATGTTAGGCAGGTTTGATTAACCTTGCTGTCAGACAGCCTGAGGGAAACTGAAGCTGTTATCCATTGATGGAAGAAGTACTCAGATAATTTAGTAAGTAAAAGTACAGATACTAAAATACCCGATTACAAGTCGATTTCCAAGTAACGTTTTTGTTTTTCAAAAATATAATCTTTATGCACATTGGTCAAAATTGCAAAAAGTACATTAACTTAGCTGAGTAAATGATCGAGGCAGTCTTGTTCTGCAAGGTTGAAGTGCTGTTTCTGTCAATAAGGTCTGATGAACATAACGGCTTCAGTTCTACGTTGAAGAAAAACTGTCTGACAGCAAGGAGAAGTGGTGAAAATATTCTAAGAGACATAGAGCTGGCCTTTCTTTTAGGTTGCTACAATAACTTTTGCTGCATCTTCAGCAGCACGTTTATTTGCTCCTGTGCCCGTGCAACCACCATCTACTGTAGATCACACACTGACTATGGATGAGAGCATCATAAGACCCACTTTAAACAATCCAAAGTATCCCCTTTGACTCAGCAGAACTACTCTGTGTGTTGAAAAGGATGAGATACTGTGCTCTGCTCAGTACATACAGAAGCTACAGGGATGATGGGTAGAGACTATGAGGCGGGTATGAGAGGCAAACAGAAAGAGAGACATGGGCAGGTGGGGAGGGGTATGGACCTTTCTTCTCTGGGCCTGTTGGGACGGTTGGCTCTGGGATGGGGTCGAACACACTGCAGTCCTTGCCTGTGTAGTCCCTGTCACAGATACACTTCACTTCATTACTGCAGGTCTACAGAGAGAGACAGAGAGAGGAGAGAGAAGGAGAGATTAGTGTAGTGTTCAATAATAGCTGCTAAGAAGAGAAAGATGTTTAAACTACATCAATGTTTAAAACACAATGTAGCTAGTTAGTATGAAGTCGGTGAAATGCGTAATTCTGGTCCAAATATGTCACTCTTTCCTACGTGAAGCCAAACTGTTTTAAGGTTGTTTTTTTTCTTTGGGTGGATCTATGTTATTTTGTATTACTATTGTTCATCACAGTTATGCTTTGAAAATGATAAGCAATAGATTATGAATGCATCTAATTAAGTGTAAGGTTGAGACACTATATTCTTGGTGGAACTTGGGAGCTTTGAGTATAAATAATCTACTTATATATATCTTTTTGTTCTTAATTTCAGTGTATACATACATACATACATACATTTGCTTTGGTTTGTCCTAACTTGGAAATGGCTCATATTTTTTTTTTTTATGGTTTATATGTGAATTTAAATTTTAAGTTGAAAATGAAATGAATAAACTAAACTATGACTTCTTTAATACAAATACTGTAGATATATGTTCCCCTAATTGTCACCAAAATGAGCTTCATAAATATGACATGGCTATTGTTTTAGATGCACAGGTATACCTTAATGCTGTATGTAACTTGTATGACTGTAAATGTTGAGTTGTGAGCTCAGGACTATATTGTTTACCCCGTGGTCGGAGCAGATGCGCCCAAAGGTAGATCCCGAGCAGGTGCTGAGGTTGAACGCGGCCACAGGAAGGCAGCGTCGCTCCAGACACATCATGTTGGGCCCGCAGGGGGCGCCGTCCTCCACATAACCCAGGTCGGAGCCGTCCTCCAGCAGAGCATGGCCTGCTCTGAGGGGAGCATCAAACATGTGAGACAGGTGGGAGAGCAGGAGGAGAACTACACATCTGATATATGTGACCCACTGACCTGCAGTCCAAGTACTTGTTCTGGTGGTAGAGGGTGAAGCTGGTCACCTCCCCCTGCAGGTCTCCGAACTTTGGCTTCATGGTGACGTTGGCACAGAACAGGAAGCCGCATAAAACATCCCTACACAGGAGGAGTGATGTCAGAGAACAATGGGGGCTTTGTTCACAGAATACACATGGAGCTTATTTTGGTGACTGAGTTATTACAAAGGATTTTTTGCAACATAGTTTCAGGCAGTTTACTAATTATCCTCCAGGTGTATGTAATACATACATTTTGTATTTGTTTAATTGTAAGTCATTAATCAGCAAACAGCAGTTTTGGTCTTTTCATGGAATTAGCTTTACCATTTGGTAAAAACTGCACAGAAAATGCAGCTGAGGCAGCACAGTTTTTGTAAAAACAACCACATCTTATTCTTCTATGAAATGATCAGCAGACTCACGGCTTGTTGCACTGCAGCCAGCCCTGGCCCTCAGGTCCCGGACCACAGTTTCCTTTCTCTGTCCCCTCAGCGTTCAGCTTCTCATAACAAAACCTGTCTGCTGAATCTGGGAGGAAAAAGAAAAGGAGAAGGAGACTACAAAGCCATAGATACAAAAAAGACCCTTTACAACTATAATTTTCTTGTGCTCTATACTTACTATAACCCCAGAGGCCCCTACACTGTCCATCACGAGTCCTGCATCGTCCTCCGTAACAGCGGCCCTGAAGAAATTAGATAACAACAATCAAGAATACATCATAACTCAGAGTGAGCAGCAGACTAGAAAACCAACCTGCCTTTACCTGACTCGTATCACATATGTAGCCGTCCAGCTTGTGCACATTGTGAGGACACTGCAAGAGAAGAGAAGTACTTCATGTTCTGAATACTATTGTTAATCTTGTAGTCCTCCCCCCCCCATTGGTATTACATAACAGTAATCTGTACCTGGCTGGAGTCTCCGGTGCAGGTCTCTGGGATATCACAGTCGTTCACACCCTCTCGACACACCACGCCTCTCTGCTCATACTATGTCACAGCATGAAAAGGAATCAGGGAAATGCTGGATATGAAATATTCATTAAACATTTCCATTATTTTTGCCTTTTATTCCAGTTTAACTTAATGAGTAGTTGACAGGATGCCTGTTTTCTAAATGTGGTCCAAAAGAAATTACAGCATGCACAACACATTTGACTATTTTAAGTGGAGGCATTTCAAATGTGGTATTTTCTAACCCGACAGGGGACACATTAATGGAAAAAGCTGAATAAAAGAGCAGAGTAGCAAATGAGATACAGATACCTCCAGGTGCCAGGGCTCACTGGATAATTGGTGAGTATAACAATGATGTGAATACAAATGCTTTGTCCTTTGAAGTGGCCAGATCACAAACCAGTTTCACAGTTAGACCATCATGAAAGTGATCTCCACAACCATAGTTTTTATAATAGAACAACTATTCTTAATGTTATCCTATTAAACTATTATACTATGATTGTCTCTGATGCTTTATGTCCTTTTCCCCTGCCTGGTGATGTTTGGTTTGATTTCTGCTGTACTTTGATCTTGATCTCAATACGATTACCTGATCAAATGAAGTTGGTATATATAAATGAGGGAACATGTGGTGGAGGAGGACTGGTGTTTATCCCTCCCATAAAGTTCCACAGACTTGAACAAGATGCACTGCCGCTATTCTTGAGGCTTGTAGTAGCCTGACTCTAAACTAAGACACTTTATGTTGGTTTTTCCTTTCATTAGTCACCTATCATTTTACATCTGGTTCCCGTTTTTGATCCCCACCTTGCAGCCGCTGCAGCAGAGTCCGTTACTGCACATGGCATCGTGGGTAAGTGTGCACTTTTTACAACAGGCTCCTCCACTACGGGCGCACTCCTGCAGCCACAGATGGAAAACAAACCTTCAGCTCATTTCCAGAAAACAGCTTACAGTAAGAGCTGGCACGGTGTCCGACTGGGTACTCACCACCTGGGATCCACAATCACACTCTTCCCCCGGCTCCACGAAGCCATTCCCACACTCTGGAGGGTCCAACAGCTGATGGAGACAGACAGGGACATATATCAGCACTTATTTACAGGACTGTCTCAGAAAATTAGAATATTGTGATAAAGTTCTTTATTTTCTGTAATGCAATTAAAAAAACAAAAATGTCATACATTCTGGATTCATTACAAATCAACTGAAATATTGCAAGCCTTTTATTATTTTAATATTGCTGATTATGGCATACAGCTTAAGAAAACTCAAAAATCCTATCTCAAAAAATTAGAATAGTTCCTCAGACCAAGTAAAAAAAAAAGATTTATAACAGCAAAACACAATCAAACATTTGAAAATGTCCATTAATGCACTCAGTACTTGGTTGGGAATCCTTTTGCACGGATTACTGCATCAATGCGGCGTGGCATGGAGGCAATCAGCCTGTGGCATTGCTGAGGTGTTATGGATGCCCAGGATGCTTCAATAGCGGCCTTTAGCTCATTAGCATTGTTGGGTCTGGTGTCTTTCAGCTTCTTCTTCACAATACCCCACATATTCTCTATGGGGTTCAGGTCAGGGGAATTTGCAGGCCAATCGAGGACAGTAATGCCATGGTCAGTACACCAGTTACTGGTGGTTTTGGCACTGTGGGCAGGTGCCAGAATGCTGGAAAATGAATTCCTCATCTCCATAGAGCTTTTCAGCAGACGGAAGCATGTAGTGCTCTAAAATCTCTTGGTACACAGCTGCATTTACTCTGGGCTTGATGAAACACAGTGGACCAACACCAGCAGCTGACATGGCTCCCCAAACCATCGCTGACTGTGGGAACTTCACACTGGATTTCAAGCAACTTGGATTTTGCTCCTCTCCAGCCTTTCTCCAGACTCTGGCGCCTTGACTTCCAAATGAAATACAAAACTTGCTTTCGTCTGAAAAGAGGACTTTGGACCACTGTGCAACTGTCCAGTGCTTCTTTTCCTTAGCCCAAGTCAGACGCCTCTTCCGTTGTCTTGAGTTCAGAAGTGGCTTGACCATGGGAATACGGCTATTGTAGCCCATTTCCCGGACACGTCTGTGAACAGTGACTTTTGATACCTGGACTCCAGCTTCAGTCCACTGTCTTTGAAGCTCCCCCAAATTCTGGAAGCGACTCTTCTTCACAATGCTGTTAAGGCTGCGGTCATCTCTCTTGGTTGTGCAGCGTTTCCTGCCACATTTCCCCCTTCCAACAGACTTTTTGTGGATGTGCTTTGAAACTGCACTCTGTGAACAGCTTGCTCTTTGAGAAATTTCTTTTTGTGTCTTACCCTCCTGATGGAGGGTGTCAATGACGGTCCTCTGGACAGCAGTCAGATCAGCAGTCTTCCCCATACTTGTGATTTAGTTTACTGAACCAAGCTGAGTGTTTTTCAAGGCTCAGGAAACCCTTGCAGGTGTTTTGAGTTAATTAGACGATTCAAGTGATTCGTTGAACACCCTACTAGTATACTTTTTCATGATATTCTAATATTTAGAGATAGGATATTTGAGTTTTCTTAAGCTGTATGCCATAATCAGCAATATTAAAATAATAAAAGGCTTGCAATATTTCAGTTGATTTGTAATGAATCCAGAATGTATGACATTTTTGTTTTTTTAATTGCATTACAGAAAATAAAGAACTTTATCACAATATTCTAATTTTCTGAGACAGTCCTGTATATAAGTGGGAGTCAGATGGACAAGAGAGGAAATGTGTCAGTTGTATAGGAGATGAGCAGAGATACTAATATGAATTACTGTAAAGAAGAAGGAAAGGAATGCAATTCAAATATGTGTTTCCAATGGAAATGAGACCACAAGAAAAATAATAATAACACTAATTATAATAATTAGAAATATAATTCAATATAATAGTCTGTATTATTAAAATTAGAATAATAAGAGAAACTTTACATGGTAATACAAAACAGAAAGCAATAACAGTACAAATAAATATTAGTCATCAAATATTACAAGCAGATTTACATAGTTGAGTGTGTTTTGGAAAAAGGCAGTCGGAGGGAGAATGTCAGAAAATTAATTAGTATAAAAATGTTATGCAGAGAGGCTGCTCCTCTCACCACATCCCATCATGCCCCTCACCTTGTTTGGCTTGTTGAAGAGGCAGCTCCCGCCCCCCTGGAGCAGGAACTGGCTGTACTCATCAACACTGCAGCGAGAGAACTTTCTGGGAAGATAGTATCTGTGTACACACACACACACACACACACACACACACACACACACACACACACACACACACACACACACACACACACACACACACACACACACACACACACACACACAGAAAGAGATTGAGACAAGGACGTGGCAGAAATGTCCCATCACTTTGCAATCGGACAGTAATTGCATGATCTGTAGTAGGATATTATACAAATGCAAATTCAAATCTGTCTTGCACCATCTGGTCAGCAGAGACACATCTAAATCATGCATACTGTGTAGTAAATACTTCAAATTCAATATGTAATTATTGGTTAGCATGCTGATGTTTAATATATCAACGCATGTTCCTGTTGCATGAAATCCAAGCTGTGATTATCACAGGCATGGCTCATTGAAGACCGAGCACAAGTCAAAGCATCCCTCTGCTACAGGTGTTTATTTCTCTAATTGAGTGAAATTAACGGAACAAATCACAGCTTAGGGTGAATGCGAAAAGAAACAGTCCTGCTGTTTAATTGTGTCAACAAACAGAGAAGAGATTTATGTTTGGTTTCTGTTTAGTTCAGTGTGCTATAATGACGATATTTACCCCGTGTCCTCCATGATGCAGCCCAGCCAGGCGTCTGGACATCTGCAGTCTCCTGTGAGGAACACCAGGAGGAAGAAGAGCACAGAAAATTCAATAAATAATGTAAAATAAATAACTTAGATCAGCATTTAACATCCGAGCTGTGACACTTCACCTGCTGCAGCTCATGAGGAAGAAGTATGATCTGAAAGGAATAGCACTGATGTCTATTGGCAGATAAATGGAGAGCCTATAGTGTGCGCTCCTGGCATTGAATAATGGACCTGATGGCTCTTCAACATTAATCACAGAGCACATTGTTCAGTTGCAGCGAGGCTCTAACCCCCACCCCCGCCTTCTTGGAGGCAGGTGACTAATCACCGAATGGAAAAGTCTAATTACAGACGAGACCTGCTGGACAAGGTTACCCACAATGCTCTCCCTCCCTGCCTACATCCTCCCCCCACTGATCCTACTCTCTTGCTTTGATAATTAATTCAGTTCTACCATTAGTTTATAGATTTCTCTATCCTCCCCCATCCACATTCACTGTTATCGTTTACCTGCAGAGTTGCGCATGTTGTTCCACCTCATGCCGATGTTCTGGCCGAGACTCTGGCACAAAGTGATGGCCATCGCTCCTACATTCCCATACTGCAACAATCACACAGGAGAGATGTATTGTGAGATGGAGAAAACACTGATATAAAATGCTTAAGAAGCTAGGCTTTTACCAACATGATGTTCTGCAAATCAGGATGAGAGGAAGATTTTAGCAAGAGAAGATCAATATCACAATACATAGCAGGCTAGCAGTTTTCAGTTATTTCCATTATTTATGCTGAACTAACGTACTGCTGGTTCAAGATAAATGTTTTACTTAAACACGAGAGAGATCAGAAGCTATCATCTCTTATAAATCTTCTTCTTAAATAGCATATTTCTCACAATGTCAAACTATTTCTTTAAATCAAGATTAGCTAACAAACTCATTTGAAACCTATAATATTTAAAATGCAAACATTTCTTCATCTCTTGATTTAAACCTGTCAATGTGGAAACAGACTTTACCAACAATTCTACCTCTGAACTCGACTGGTTCAAAAGAAAAAACCTTTTTCAAACTTAGATTCAGATAAACCTCATGTTCTAATATACAAAGGGCCTCACCTCGTTGATGCCCCCTCCTCTTGTTAGAGAGCACACCCCCCCGGTGTAGGCCGTCCCACTGCGGCTACTGTGAAATGTACGCCCTCTGAGGCGCAAAAAAAAGATACCATCGTTTAGAATCAAACGTATCAAGCACCCAAAAATCATCCAAGCCTTAAATCTCCAGATATTTAAATTGCCTTACGAGAAAAGTTGGGCGAGGTCACTTTGATCTTTGATGTTGTCCTTCCTGTATCTCATGAAGTTCTGCAGCGTTATCAAAGGATCTTCCATTACTGGCATCATATTTTTAGAGGTCCAGGTCTCCATGGCAACCAGCACGATCCGCGTGTTCAACTGTTCCTTGTAGATCTGAGGACGGAAAACCGCCATCACTTTCCTGCTTTGCTGGTGCGACACCTGTGCTGTCAACACTCTGTGTGCTATCTGGCATAAATCATTGGAAATAAACACACACTCCCTGACAGGTGGCTGTGTGCCGAGCAAGCGGAGTTTAAGAGAAGGAGGACTGTTAAACAAAGCTCTTACCGCATCTGCCATGTTGACCACTGCTTTGGCAAAGTTCTTGGTTTGGCTGCTGGAGCGACGCAGCTGTACAAACTGTGGAGACACAGAGATACACAGATGGTGTGAGAGATCTACTTCAATCTCTCACACACAAAGGAATACAGACAAACAAATATTTAACTGATCTAATCCATCCATATATCTGTAAATTCATCCATCCATCCATCCATCCATTCATCCAAATATTTAACTGATCCAATCCATCCATCTATTCATTCATCTGTTCATACACTTATACATCCATCCAATGTCTCCGGCAGCCAAAATGTAGCTTTCATTTTCATTTATCTCCAGATCTCCCTATTAGATCTAGGTCCTGTTAAACAGCCTCATTGACTCAGACAATTCACATTTCTCTGTACGACAAAGACCACCAGTGCAGATGTCTGACGTCTAAACAATCTTAACCGGAAAGAGTACTTTTTACTAACCATTTCGTTGTCGTTGACCACCATCAACTCAATATATTTGGTCTCAGTCTGGACAGAGGGTTTGCGGACAGATCTCTTGGATCGCCTCAGCCCCCCTAACACCTGCTCTTCTGTGGTTTGGTCCGGTCTGTCGTGATCACCATCACCTCCTCTGCTATCCCACTCACTGTCCTCTGTACAGTCTGGACACACAGAGAAGCTCCAGGCACTCAGAGCAACAATACTTTTTATAATGCTGTATGGTACAGTGCAAATATTTGTATCTACATTGTCAGTCAAAGATTTAAAGATCCCAATCTAAAAGCTGTGGCAGTAATTATCAACCCTTCTTAATTAATCAAAAATAACTGTCTGAATTGTACATGGGTGAATTAGGACCATTGACTACGGCTTTGTATTCAAAAATTGTTATTCCTACAGTACATAAAACCTACGCCTTTGTTGACTTTTCTCTTTCACTGATGTGAAGAATTCCTCTCTTTGACCTCAATGAGAAAATAATTACTTTTTGTATATAGGAACATTTTGGAGTGTTTTTGTACAGTGACATAACAGTACCTGTGAAATATTAAGCAACAGTGAATTTGAAATGATTGCAACAGTGGAGCGAAGTGAAATCTAACTTGAGGCACTGCGGTTATATTAAAATCTAATTAAGATGAGAAGATTAGAAAAAATACTTTAACGCAGTATTATTCTGATGTGATGCGAGTGTCAGCAGTTTGTTTTAAATTCAGTAATTTACCTGTGCAGTGAGGGGAAAGTCTGATATCAGGCATCCTGCGGATTAAGTGAGCACCATCCTCCTATAACACAATCAATACAGATGACATTACACACATTAGTACCTCAAAATCCAACATCCAGATCTCAATATTGTATTAATAACACTCTCCTATTTACCTGATTGCTTCCATTTTGAACAGGCTCAATACCGTAAGAGAAGAAGCCATCAGAGAACATGCCGCTGGGAACCAAGAGACGGGTGGTGAGGTGTAGAGCAGAAAGAGACAGACAACTCGTAAATTAAGTAATGTTCATAGGACAACAAATATGATTGAATAAATAAAGGTTTACTGTGGGGCTCACCACAGGCCGTGGCAGGTGGAGAGCGCTGCCCAGGACTCGGGTAAACCTCGTAACCTTCCCTGGTAGTAGCAGTGCTCTCCTCCCTGTGGACACAAGAAACAACCTCTACTGACACACTTCAGGCTCACTTTTATACTTCATTGGATATTATAATAGGTCAGCCCTGAGTAGAAAACCTCCGCAAAGGTAACTCCCCTCTCCTTCTTTCCACACTCATGCATTTACGGCACAGTTTTTGACCTACTTGTGTCCTCTTCTCTACCCCACTCTTTTCTGCTTCACTGCCAATAAAGGTGGAGGTAAATCCTTGACAAGGATCTCTTCAATAAATCATCAATCTTGTTACCCACACAGTTAGATCTGAGAATTTAACATGGGATGACTAGTAGGTAGGTTGCAACTGAAAAACACAGGGTGAGAGAAAAAAATAAGGAAATCGTGCTCTGCTCTTTCCTGTCCTAGTAACCTTGAAAACCACGAAAGAGCGTTAGCTTTTGCCTCCAGCTAACAATTCCTCAGAAGTGGGCGCACCGCTTCACGAGGTCACAGTGAGCAAGATGAATCACCAGGAAAGGTGAGACAAGTGAGAAACATTGGTTCACCTCAACCAAATTGAGTTCAGCAGGGTGTCTCAGCCTTGCCACAACAGCTCGGGCAACAACAAAAACGCCTCTTGCTTCATATGGAAACAAAAGCCGGGGTAACACATTTTCCATTTGAATTTATTTCCCCATCGGACTCACACTTCCAGACCTCTCTGTTTATTTTAGGACCACATTTGACATCTGAGTAAAAAAAAGCTTGATGCTTATTGTTACAAAATGTTTTTAAAATCCAAGAGTTACATTTTGACTATGAAGGCTATTATGTTGCCAAATAATTGCCAGAGGATTGAAGAGTCTGTTTATTTGCTGATATAAATCAATCAATGGAAACCCACAGGATTTCAGGCTGTAGAAGTACATCAGTGCAATATTATTGTTTTTTGTACCATTAAGTAACTGTATACTTTCACTCCAGACAATAACACAGAAGGGATTCATCTATTCACTATTTATCAGGGTATTAAAAAAGAGAACTTAAGTGTATTAATGTTGTGTTTCACGGCACCCTCTCATAAATTGTTACCATTCTGGAGTCAATGCCAGTAAAAACACATTTCTTGTATTTACATTTTTTTGTAAGAATTCTACATTTTATATTTTAGAGAGGTCTGGAAACACAAACATCCTTCCGTACTCTGTAGTCTTTTCTATATAATGATCAGGTACTGTAAACTACTGGAATACAATTCATTAGTTTTCCATGTTGTGTAGGAACCCAAAAAAAGCATTTTGGCGACTGAGAACAGTCAGGTGACGTGCTGCCCTGAATGCATCACACCTGCGATGTCCAGCAGCACAGAGGCATGATGGGAGGCCACCGTCCAGCTGAGAGACAATCTGTCCTGACCACAGGTCTCCCTCCCGGACATTTTAAGCCTCCTCCCCCTCCTTCCCGCAAAACTGGAAACAAACTGATCATCTATGACCGCACACACCCCCCCAAAATTATCCAAACTTATATTGCCTTTGTATTAAATGGCATTTAACACCTAATTATCCTCCTTCTCTTCTCTCGCTGGTCTGCTCTTCCCTCCCTCTCGCTCTTCTTCCATTCTCCTCACCGCCAAGTACTTAATGACACTGCTGAGCTAACTGGTTGCTATGGAAACAGGCTTGTGATTGGTCAGGAGGAGTGAGGGAGAGTTTGGCACGATTGTGGGTGTGGACATGTAGTGCTGGTGGCTGGGTGGGTTGACTGCTAGGGGGACAGTGAGTGACACATTTATACAGAAAAGAGCCATCCCTCCTGGGTAGCAGAATGCAGTGACATTCCTCTAGTCTATGCTCAGAAGCGCACATCACATTAGATGTCAAGGCTTTCATCCAGTTTCCTGTTATCTCCTAATTCTTTCTTTGAGCTCGTGGTTTTTATACCCTTTCTTCTTGGCTGTCGGAGAAAGGCAGCAGCAGAGAGGCATCGTGCACTCCGCTGACAGGAGAAACCCACGTCTGTGCAGCACGGTAACATACATCATCTTAACAGCTACATGGAAGTTTACTTTGAAGCAGAGATCACACAATGCTCTTTCTATGAATAGTTCAAACAAGAAGATGAGATCAAACTTCAATAAAACATCACATCAAAATCAGCCTCGAAAGATAAAAAGAAAATGTCTTTTGTTGCTAAATGGAGACTTTAACCAAACAGATCTGTGTTAGATGAGCCTAAAATATATATTTCATATCAAATATAAATTCACCCTTCTCTTTTATTGGTCATAGGGCTTTTATCGTTTCTGTTACTGTTTTTATTACCATGATAATTGCCTTTGAATTCCCTTTTAAGTAAAATGGTGTTGTATAATGAGCTCTGGTGACGAGGCATTGCATCTGACAAACAAAACTTTAATTTCATTCTAATATTCATGGCAACAGCAAGATGTGAAAAGTCTCAGTTCCTGCAGCCAAAGAACTGAACGCTGCACTGCCACTCTGGTCATATCATTAATATGCTGAAGTCTTTGTGCCAAAAGACAAGTTAACTCACTAGAATCGTGTCAGTACGCACCCCCACCCCACACAATCAGTCTTACCATCGACTGTGAGGGTCTGCCATCATGGTTAAAGTGCCGCTCCACATATTCTGAAGACAGGAGGTGACTGCAAAGACAGAAGAGACACATTAACATCCTTAACAGCATTATCTCAATCACCATGTCATCAAAATTGGTTATCAAAATTATGAGTATTCTCAACCTCCCCTCAAATGTATTTTACAAAGAATACATATTAACATGTGATGTTAATAAAATCAGTCGAAGCTCATGAAGACGCAGCAGTGTGTGTTTGCCACATTGGTATTCCCCGTCTTGTCATGCAAAATCGAGGCGCTAAGTGCATTTGCTTAAGTGCTGGTAAATGCTAATGAGTACAGCTGCAGTGGATTAGGAGCACCTACTGTTACAAGCGTGTACAAAAAGGCAGACCTGATGATTTTTTGGATGGTAATACTAACTGGTTTAGTTCCAGGTCCAGAGTGAAGGTGTGTCCAAACGCTTCCACTTGAAAATAGCTCTGGGCCAAGTGGACAGGCTGAAAAAAACCAAAGAGCGAGAGCGAGACAAATTAAATAGTTGATAAATCAAAGTGTAACAAAACAACTGTGGATAAGAGAGTCGCTCTATAACAGCCACAGAGTGATTGTGAAAACAGTTCCATGAATAATACAACAGATTCAACAGTGTGCACGTTTTAGCAACTCAGCAGCTGAAATAATATGATTGATAACGTCTCCATTTATCGACAATGGCCGCCAGCATTTAGGCAGGCCTGACTGCAGAGAGTTATGGTTGTTAAAGAGCTAAACTAGGATTTCGTAAGAGGGTGGGAAGAGGAGGAAAAAACGTTGCTGGTATCGTCCCAATTGAAAAAGAGAAGGACTAGGACAGCACAGATTTGATTTCTTAGTATTGCCTTCTATATTGACTGGTAATCTTACAAATTCAAATTGGAGTGCTGTCTTATTCTTTATTTTTTCAACATTTGCATTAATGATCTGGAATCCAGTTTAGCGTTTTAATTTCTATGGTCTATATTCAGCCATGCTGCCCCTGATGGACATCTGGCGGAGGAGGTGAGGGGGAGACAGCAGGGCCAGGAGAGAGCAAGGCTCACTGCAGACTGAACAGTGTGTCTCTGTAGGAGCTCTGGACTTTGATCTCAGTCTGGAGGAACCAGGCTGATCCAATGCATCACTTTGCAGGAATCATTCCAGTGAGCATGGACAACAGACTTCTTACTACTGTCTTGTAACTGTCTTTAGGGGTTTCTGTCTCTGTACAGAGCCGTGTTCCACAGCTTTATATTTGTGTTCAGATCATAAAGTGTGTCTGCTCTTGGGTAGGTAAGAATGAGAAACCAGCTCGAGTGCGCTAGAATTTGAAAATACACAGCCGGGAAAAAAAATGCCCCTTCATTCAGACTTCCTCACAGAGCCCCTCCTCCAACACACACGAACGCACACATGACCAATGAGGGCACGAGATAAGTTTGTGCACGAGATGGAAGGCTGACAGGCAGGTAGGCCATCCAATGATCTGCCGCGGGCCGAGGAAGATAATTGGTCTTCCACAGATGAAATATTTGTATATATTTATTGTCAAAGCATTTCATGTATTCATTGCTATCGGGATGTTAAGAGCATTCCATGGAATATAACAAAAAGTGTTTCTGAAGTGAATTACCTACCCTACCTTTAAGGTGGTTGCCAAACCTTTTATTTATCTGCTCAGAAGGGTGTCTATGTTCAAATGTAAATTTGCGAGGCACCTGAAGGACTTCTAATTAAGGTTGTTCAAAAGGTGAGATTCATTATTTCTTCTTGACAAAAACAGCTCCATTTAGAAGCTGCTCTCGCGAATATTACCATGAAGGAAAAAGTACTTCGTTAAAGTTAGTTTTCATAAAGCTTTGGTGGGATGCTGTATCATAGTCAGAATCCGGTACATGTTTGGAGCTGAATCATGCTGCGTATACACACATTATTTTTTTGTTACGGAAAGGGTCTTGACAGAGGGCTTCACTCAACAAGTCCCCTTCTACTTTTTAGATAATAAGTCATGCCAAGGAAGTTGAATGACCTCTTTATGTTAAGCAAAAAACACATGTGGGAATTGTTCTCACAGTGAGTGGTTTTTTTCACCTTTCAAATGACTGTTTCACAAATGACATACAGGGCTTTAATTAACCAACTAATTAACCTACCGGCCAATAATATAGCTATCCTTGAACAGCATATCAACTGTGCTAAACGAGAAATGAAGTCTTTATGCTAAACAAAACATAAAGAAAGGAATCTTATTATTAGTTTTTTAGGGACACAAATAATTTATCACAACAAAAACAAGTACGGCAAAAGCACTGTGTCAACAATTTTCATCGCAGCATGATGTGACAGAAGAGAAAGAAAAGGGTCAGCTCACGATCCCCTGCTGCTTCTAAATGTATCATGTCCCTCACTCCAAGTGTCTTTAATATTTCAAAAAACAAAACACAGCAGGTGAAGAAGAAGAAGAGCAGCAGCTAAAACATGGACCTCTGAAACATTGTTGAACAGTGTCCTCATTTGCATATTCTGAATGTCTATCATGTTAGATGCTGCCGTGTTGTATTCATGGTATCTTCCTCTCCAGGGGCAATAACATTAATTTGACCTAGTCTTTAATCATGTCACCCTAATGTGTTCTCTCATAACAGTTACATGAACTACATCATATCAGCATGAGCAAAAGAGAGAGACGATGGGGTTTGCTAAAGCCTCTTTGGCCGTGCAGTATTTCTCACACAGGCCTGCTTTATAATGAATGGGGACATACTTTAACACACCACTGAATAATGAAGAAGTGGAGGGCTCAGCCCAGCAGCCGGATGATCGGACATAATGACGGGCTAAGCTTTATCATGTGAAGATGAGAGGCACTACACACAAACATTTAAAGACATCGTTGGTCAACTGTGCATTTACTACAGAGCTTGCACGGTAAAAAGAGAAAGCAGGTCTAAAGGTTCAAGTTGGCTTGCATTTAGGCAGAATAAAAAGGCTGTAAAAAACACAATGTATGTCTGTGCTTCCTCTCAGCTGGTATTACTTCATGGTGGAAATTCAAAGGTATTTTCAGTGACTAACTAGGTCAAAATCAGAGATGAGTCTGCTGCAAAACACAGCCCTGCCATCCCCGTGCAGCTTCAGCAGCACTGTTACAGACACTGGAACAATGTGGTTCCCACCAGCGGAATAACAGTCTGTCTTGATGTCACACCCACATATGTGCACACACACTTGCTACAATGTCCCTAATAGTGAATCTTCCTCAGTAAGGTTGTATAATGATACTGAGCACTATATAAAACATGTTCAATTATTTCCTGAACTCACAAACTGCATATCAAGCTGCAAGCTCCCGCTCCAGCTGATTTTGGTCCAGAAAGAAAATGAACCAATCTACTCCTGATTTTGCCCCATTGATGTTCCTCACCCAAAACACTTAAAACACTATGACCACTGAACTGAGAATTTCAGAGAGAACCAATGTGAAAATGAACAGAAGTGGGGATATGAGAAATAATTGATGCCAAAAGCTGTGTTAGTTAGAACTTACCAAATTGTTCTCAGTGCTGTTCTTCACCCTGGTATCCAAGTAGTCACGAGCCATTTCCCCCTCCGACTCGATCTTTTGGACCAGCCGCTTTGGATAGGTGACCTCGATGGCAGTGTCCCCGCTGTCCGCCTGCCCTGCCGGGGTGAACCAGTCCCAGATGCCTCCATCCTGCACTGGGCTCCTGTCCACACCTGCAGGACGAACAACAGAGAAACTCACATGGAGGGTGCAAGGGTGTGTTGGCCATGTACAGTAGGTGCACATCTGTCTAAATTGGCTGGTAATGTGAACATTATAAAGGTGATATATTGTTTAATAAAACACAATGTGGGATGACCGAGATAAGTGTTTGTTTCTTTAATTGTATGGTGACCTAATTGATCACACTGACTAGTTCATAACATTGAATCTGTCACTGATCTATTCTAATGTATGGCCACAATAAGATATTGTAGGAAATAATGAATGTGGCAATTTGCAATAGTTTTTAGGCTACATTGTAGACTGACGCCCATCTTAATAATTGCACAGGGCCATCGCCTCACATTTCAGCAATCTTTAGACAGGCTGTGAAACACGGTAACTGGTGTTTGACAGGTTATATCATTGTGCGTGTATATGAATTAAACACCGCTGGTAATGGTGATGGATATATGCGAGGGGGGCTGCGATCGGAATGTGTTGATGCAGCAAATCAATCGCCTCGGAGACAGAGTGCTGCTTGGCACCGGGTGACTGCTAAAATCGCCGGAGTTAGAAAGTGCTGGTGCACGTGAAAACAAATAGTGGATGGAAAGGAAAGGAAAAAGGGTGCTCCCGCTCTTTATCCAAACCTCCCTCACTCTCTCTCTTACCTGATACCGTAAGCCTCTCGCCCACTGCAGCAAAGACCATGAAGCACCACACCGCCAGCATGATCTTCACATATTCCCCCGGATTACAACATCGAGAGCCGCAACAATGTCACGAACTCGGCCGACGGTAGGGAGGAAAAAGACCAAGAACCGCACAGCAGGAATGACGGCGAAGAGCGAGATAGGATCTGCTAAACATCTGATGATGCGGGTCCTCTCATCTCTCCCCCTCTCTGTGTTTCTCTCTCTCCCTTTCTCAGGCAGACACCGAGACTTTGGTGAGCATATCAGAAGGATCAAACGCGAATCATAACCCGGACCTATGGCGGAAATTATTGATCAGTGCAGAAATATGGAGGGGAAGGGAGAGTGCGCGCTTCGGATGCATCGCTCCGTGGGAGAGTTTGGGTGTAAATGGGTGAGGATGTATATGTCAATCTGCGGTTTGCGGAAACGATGGCACGGGGAAGTGGAGAGAGATGTGTCTGCGGTGAGGAGGGCACGTGGGACAGCGGGACCTCCCTCATCCCGGGCAGCCTCCTCCTCCCGTTGCCAGGGAAAGGATGCGACAGGCCGGGTGCTTCTGAGGAGGTGAACCGCGGAACAGGAGCCGGGGGGTGGGGGGGATAACCACCCATTCATGGCCTCACTGCACACGGGGATGAATGGGTGAATATATCTCATCATGATTTCATTTCCCCCTGTTTCCATGGTAACCAAGTCAAACTGTTTATATGTTTGTCAATCCTTTTTTGTTTCATGTAGCCTACTTATTGTGACATAGCCTAAGTCCATGTCTTTCTCTTCTGTTAAATGTACAATAAAGTCAAATTTCATGAAACCTACACAACAGTTCTATGACTTATTTTCCTGGAATTGACTAAGGAAAGACTACATCATGTTTTTATTTCTAAAAACGGTGTGATGATTGAAAAGGATGTTAGATTTTCTAGAGGCCTTTCAAGGAATATACTGTAGGCTAGATTAATTACTTTAGAAAATCGTAAAATAAATGTTAGGCTACATGTTATCTGTTGAGCATTGACTGAGGTGAATACATGTGCCCCTCACTTGGAGCAAATTCAGAAACAAGACAGTTTGTTGAGAAGTAAAAACGTATTTTTTGGGATCTACAATTGCAAAAAAAAGGTTACGGCCAATAAGATAAACTCCACCCCTGAAAACCGTACACATGGCATTACTTCAATGAAATGAAAAATATTAGTAAAATTATTAATCATAGGCAGGTCACCTGAAAAAGTATATTGATAAATACTGCAAACATCAGTATAAACATTGAATCTGTATTTGTACTCTGACAACATTATAATACACTATTTAAGTAAACATGAGCGGGTCTGTATGATATGTGAATTTATTGTGAGAAAGATATTGCAGCAGACAATCAATTGGCTTTTTATGAGGACCCATACATAAAGATCAATCAAAGAATGAAGCTGCAGAGCTCTTGCTGTCTCAGCCCTGTGACCTGCAGGATTTGCTTCCGAGATAACGTTAAGTGTTCCAGCAGCCATCCTGCTAATGGAGGCACATTGTGCACTGACAGCCCCCTCTGAATATTTCATCTGCCCCCCTTTGAGACAGGGATCAAGAGATAGTGGGGAAGAGATGGAGCGGAAAGCAGCAGGATGAGGGCAGCATCCATGCTAAATATGTGCTCGTTCTGACAAATTGGAGTTCAGAAACCAGTCCAGTTAAGACTGAGCCTTTCTTCTGTTAATCTGAATTCAAACATCACCACATGTGCCTTTCGGTGCCTTTCATGGGATGAACATCTGATCACACAGTGCTGCTCAATTAATCAGCAGCGTTGAGTAACAAAAACTGCAGAAAGAGCTCTGAGAAGTCAGGCTGTGCTTCAGAAACTAAATAATTATTATGAGCTGTGGTCCAGGGCAACAACAAGTGTTTAAATCCTTTACTGAGGTAGAACCATCGATGCCAAACTGTGAAAACACTGCATTAACCCTCCTGTTGTCTTCGGGTCAAATCTGACCGATGTACTATACTTTCATCAATCATAACTTTTTTGTTTTACATTCGATTGCATTAAGGCTTTATGATATCCTTCACAGTAGACATTTGAACATATCAATTTGCGGATCACCACTTTCATTGAATTTTGGACCCATGGTGTTCCTGGTCAAAAATGACCGCCATAAAGAAAAGGAATTAGTAACTATCCGGATCAGATAAAACACAAACACCCACACACTCACACAAACATACTCAAGATGTGTTCCCCCCCTTATGTGCCCAATCCCCCCATGTGAACCACACCTGGCACACACAAACACACACACAATAATTTGACACATTTCCCGCTCCCATCCCCCCACATGGATCACACCTGGCACACGCAATACATGTTCAGTATCTATTCTTTGTATATTTACTGCAGTTGTTCATGTATACCAGTAGTCCGATATAATACTTACAGTTTGAAAGGGTGTTAAATGACATTTGGTGATGATTAATGTTTTTTGTGTCAATGTAATAGCAGTTAAAACAGGACCGGTCAAATTTGACCGCGAACACCAAAGTAAGGGGGGGAAAATGAAGACAAAGGAGGGTTAAGGAAAAGGCCTGCATTGAAAACCTTACCTAAGTTAAATAATGTAGGTATTAATATCAAAGTGTACTTTACTGCAAGTATCACGCTAATAAAGTAAGCACAGTTATTTGCTAACGGTCAGTGTTTTCATTCTTCATAGACTGTTGGATGTTTAATCTACCGCAATGGATCATATTCAATAAAACCATCATATGTTTGTAACTTATAGCTATCAGGTGAACAACCACCTACCAATCATTCAAAGTTTCCTGAACTCTGAAAAACAGCCTTGCTTGAGCCTTGTGACGATGCATTTAGAACTAATCCAAAAGGGTTTTGAAATAGTGTATTTATAAGAAGTTTTCACAATTGATGAAGACATATTTAATCCTCCAGTTATAAAAAACTGATATCATCACATTCAAAGAAACAAGATTTTACCTGGACAGCAAGGGATTGAAAACAAATATTTTTGTAAAGCAACTAGCTGTTAGATATAGTTGAGTAAAAAGTACAATCATTTAGTCATAAATGTAGTGCAGCAAAGTAGCTATACAAAAGCAAAAAAACTCCACCCTGAATAAAATGAGGAATTAATGAGACCTAAGTCCTTATTTCTAACTCTTATAGTCTGATGGTTTGACCTGATATGAGAGAGACATGAAGGAAGTCTTAACTATTTCCCTAAAATACGTTTAAAAAACAGAGACACTAAGGAGGATCACAACAGGACTCCGACTTACCCAGACATTAAAACAAATACAAACAGTGTACAGTCAAAGTAAATGCCAGAGTGAGACAGAGACACACTACCCTCTACTGTGCAAATAGCTGCATCACACTTACAACAGGCTATTTGCAACTACATCAGGCGCTTTCACACCGCAGTACTTTTCCCACAAAGGTTCATGAGAACTTAGTTCATCAGAACTCTTTAGTTCTGATGAACTAAGTACAGATCGCGTTCACACCGGAATAAATCCCTGGGGGTGGATTAGGCAGATGAAGCCGCTGACGTCACTTCTTCTTCTTCTGCTTTGGGTTTACTGGCAGGCCGCAAACAACTTCACGGCGTATACTGCCGCCCAAAATCCCAGGCCGGAAGTCCCCGGAGTTGGGGACTGGCTTCAGTAGAAGCTGCTGGGACTCCCAGCAGCTTCTACTGAAGCTTTCCAAGTAAATCGCCAGAACGCCGACACCTCCTCATCCCCCATGTTTTATTTTGTGTTGCCATAAATTAGTCTCTCTGCGTTTCTGCGCTGGGCTAATGCTAATGCTAATAATGCTAATGCGAGGATAATAAAATGGTGGTTTCACAACACTTTTTTTGAGTTTTACAGGGCGTGGTTTGCAATCCGCCCAGCCAATCAGAAATATAGCTCTTTTCTCACAAGAGAGCCGCATGAGAGTCCCTGCTCTCTAGCAGGGACGGAAAAGGGATAAAAAGGTTCTCATTAACTAATTTTAGTTCCGGCTCTTTTTGGTGTGAACGCGACATTTCGGAACTATATCGGAACTAAAGTGGGAAAAGTACTCCGGTGTGAACGCGGCTATTAAGTCAGCCAGGAGAAGGGCAAATATAACTCTGATCACTTTTGGAAATAGATTTCTTTCTTTCTTCTGCCATTGTGTCAGGTGTAATGTTATTAAGAGTGGAGAATATGCCTTCTAAAAAGTTAAGAAAGCATTAAATGTGTTGATAATCACATTCTTTGGAAGAGTTTTTTTTTATAGAAACTACTTCACAGTGTATTATTGTACTAAATACAGTGCTAGTCTCTTTAAAGACTGATAGGCAACCTTAGTGGCGTTAAAAAGTTGGTGCATGTGTTGGCTTGCCCGTGTTTTACGTTTGTTTGCACACAGCTGAGCTGCGCAGGGCAATCAGGTGAATTCTTCTTCTTCTTTTCTTTAATGGCGAATCGCTTCCACTTGGAGCATATATCCAATCAGGTGAATTAGTTTCAGCTTCACTTCTTGAGCCGAGCGCTAATTAATTGAACACATGCTGGTGACCAGGCGCTGCAAATTAACCAATTAGCTCTCCCTATAAGACAGGGTGATGAAAGCGGCAGACTTTCCATTACATTTCATCTTAGGAAAAGTGATCACATATCGAAGAAAATGAATGGTGTACCCAACGGGAAAGCTGTCGGCAGTCCGCCGCTGCAGCTGTTCAACTGCGAGCACGCTGCCTGTGGAGCGACGTTCACCAGACAGTGGAGACTGAAGGAGCACGAGACGGTGCACACTGGAACGGTGAGTTAAATGTTCAGAATTCCTAAAGTAATACACCAATGTAACTTTTAAAATGCATTTTGCCAAACAAACATGACGTTGTTCCGTCACACAGCGCCCGTGTCTCTGCACAATTGCTGGCTGTGGTCATCGTTTCACGAGAAAGTCCCACCTGCGCCGCCACATGCTTCAGCACAGAGGGGTGAAGCAATTCCAGTAAGTCACATAATGTCACTGTACTGTTTCTCCTCACAACCAAAACCCACGTCCTCATTCTGTAATTTTCCTTTTGGCAGATGCAAATTTGCGAGCTGCACGCAGAGTTTCTTCCACACAGGCAATCTGAAAAGACATGTTCGCTACGCCCACGGAGACAAAGACACGTATTTCAAGGTTTGTCTTGGTAAACGAATGTGCCCACAAGATGGCGCCAAAGGGTCGTATTTAAACAGCGTCCCCTTAAATGTACTGCTTGACGTTCAATAGCCAGTTTCAAGTCCTTTGTGTCATTTTAACCACTTAATATTTTTCTCCTACAGTGTAACCAGCCAAACTGCTCATTGACATTCAAAAAACGCAGGCTGTTTAAACTGCACTTAAAGGAGCATGGATTGCCTGCTAACTCAAAGTAAGTCTGTCAAAAAAGATTAGCCTACATGTCAGAGTAGAAGACTACGATGTTCTGTAGTTTAAAATCAGACCGTTTTGTCCTATGAGTTAATTAAATGCATGTGATAAATAATATGCACTTGCAATTTATATAATAAGATCCTTAATACCTGGCATGCAGGTTCTAACAGAGATAAATGAATGGTTACAGGCAGAGTGGGTGAAGTTGATTTTTAATTCGTTTGTAATTCTTCCTGTCCTTGGTGGGTTACTTAGGTGTTCGGAGGCTGGATGTGCTGCCATGTTTGACTCCCATATTGAACGCAAAGCCCATGAGAAGAGGCACGCAGGTTGGTCTATTTCATAGCAGGTGTCCTTTAATCTTCTATCCCTGTGAAATTCTTTAATTAAAAAGGGGGTTGTGGCTTCATTTGCATGTAACCTTTTTGTGCATTCAAGCGTATTCTTTTAAGACTCATAACATGTATGCCAGTTCCTCAAATGGCTCCAGAAGGGAGCCAACCGGGGCCGATCCTTTGATTTCCCCACTCACTGGCCTTGTTGTTTGGTCCCTGCAGGTTACAGCTGCCCTCATGTTAACTGCCAGGTGTTAGAACACATGTGGAGCAAACTTCAGAAGCACATGATTGCCAAACACCAGGGTAAATATGCTCTAAATGTTCTAAAGTAATTTGTACCAACATTTTGTTTTTGTTTCTCACACTTTGAAAATGTGTTGTAGCCACGTTCATATGCCAAGTGTGTAAGAAGGAGTTAAAGAAAGCAGAAGCTCTGCGGAAGCACAAACGGATCCACGCTTCCCATAAGCCCGTGCTGGTTTGTCCCAAGGAGGCCTGCCAGGCCTACTTCTCTACGACCTTTAACCTGCAGCACCACATCCGCAAGGTGCACCTCAAGCTCCTCAAATACAGATGCTCCTTCCCTGACTGCCCACGCACGTTTGCCATGAGGGTAGGTGACCCTGTACCCTGTAAGGAGATTTATCAGAATTTTTATTTTCTTTGTAATTAATGGCTTTTCTGGCACTGTTTAGGTAAGAACTGTTCATTTCTGACAATGGTTGTAAAGAAAATGCCGAATTAAGTGTTAATAACATAGATGAATTACATAATTTATATTCGTTAAATGTCTTTTCTTGTATTATTACACAGGAGAGTGTGACCAGACACCTGCTTCGCCACGACCCAGACGCCACTACACTGAAGGCAAGTCTGCAGATGTGATCTAAAGCATCACACATTAGTGAGCTCTAGAGCTAACTGGGGATATTGAATTGGGTTTTCTCTTTGAAACCTGTTTATCTGACTCCTCTGTGCTTCTGGCCAACTGAAGCTTTAGAAAGGGGATATTTGAATATTGGGATATTATCCCCTCGCCCCCCCCAATGTATATGGTAAATTTGGCCTTGGATTTACATGATCTTGTGTCCAAGCATACCAAATACTATTTAATCCAAATGTGGCATTGCACCGCAAGAACAGCCATTTTTTCAAAATCGTTCTCATAAATTGCTTAATTTCTCAACAGAAACATCGAAGGCCTAAGAAGTTCTGGATGAAGCGTCTGGACGGACACCATCTGCCCCTTGTGGAGGAAGACCTGCGTAATCTCTTTGGTCTGCGCATGAGGATCTCCAGACGTGCCAAAGTGGAAACCAACCTCCATGGCCTCTTCAATGAACGCAAGATCCGTCATTATGTTGACCCTGAAGTCAACCTGCGCAACTTGTTTGGTATCAAACGGCCTTATGTTTTCGAAGAGAAGCCTGAGGTCGAACCACTAAAAGTATGAATGATAATCCCTCCCAATAGCAGCAAAGTTTGAAATCTGTTATCGGACTGATCTTTCTTTATTTTTGAGAAAATTGGGTCTCTTTGGTTCAGTTTTATTTAATGTAGATCGACATACATTCAAATATTTGTATTTCAAAGTAATTATTTGAGTATGACTTGACACATTGATTGTCAAGCTTTGGTGAATTTCAAAGATTGAATTCTAGTTCTTGGAGACAAAGGTTACTCTTGAAATGTTTTAATTTGTAATATAACAGGTGCTGACCCAATAAAATGAGTTACATTTTGAGCAAAGTTTAAATGTGTTATCTTTTTTGGCTCATCAGGTATCGTCTTCCAGACCTAAGATGCTCAGTCTCATTTTGTTGCAATGTAAAGAGTATTTAATTGTTGCCCATATTTAAACAGTCATTTTCTTCCAGCATCTATATGTTGTGCTTGCTTTGGCTTCACATATTGGTTGATATTTTCAGAACATTTTGGAACTCATGAAGTATGGACAAAAGGACTTGCATTTGAGTAAGAGCTGAGTCACTGAAAGTATGTCACTTTTGGGGGTGGAGGAGACCTTTGAACACACGATGAGTAGCAGCTGTCCAATCTTTTAAAGGTTAAGCTTTTCAATTTTTATATGGGCCTTACCAACATTTACACAAGATGGTGCTTGTGTGTAGTTTAAATGCTTTTAGTTACTTTGATTAGTCTAACGTGCTTTCTAGGTTTTCATTACAACATCTGTTTTTATAATTTTTCAAATGTATATGATGGATTTCTGTTTAGTCTCGCAGTGTTGGAAATATATTTAGATCATTTACAAAGTAAAAGTAGCAAAACCTCTTTACAAGTAAAAGGTGCAATGTGCTAAATATGCAGTTAACGTTAAACTTACATTTGGGTAAAAATCTAAAATGTCCTCTAGCGTAGAATCAAAAATAGGTAGGCTATACTTAAAACACGTGAAGAAGGCCCACCACTTGACTCACTCATGCCCACTAAATGTAGCAGACTCCATTATTCGTCTCCACCCCTGTTGTCAAATAACCAATGACAGCTAAACCTGGCGTCTCATTCGCAGGTGAACTATATAAACTTATTTTTACCACAAAATAATGGACATGGACAGCTAAACATACCTGACGGAGAATCTATAACTGGCCGCTGCAGTTTCACACAGATTAGACGAAACACAAATAAATGCTAGCAGAACTTTGAGCTACTGTAGCAGCGTCAACATGGGAAGACGTATCAACAAATTCGAGCAGTACAACTCAGTATTTGGAATTAGACTGTATTTGGATAGTACCTATGTTTTAAGCATAGACTGTATATAAAATTAGTTTTATGCGGCAACCCACCTCTCTTCTTTGTTCTTCGAATTGCCGGCACGTTCCGAAGGGGTTAAAACAACCGTAGAAGAAGAAAACATGAGTTTCCTTGGTCCTTCCTAATATTTTCTTTATGTTTTGTAAAGCCTACATATAACATCTTTATGAATTAATGGAATTACTAGCTTGAGCTTTCCTGCAATGTTTGCATAATGTGTTTTTATTTTAAATAAAGAATTCAGGGATATTGAGCTCAGCCCACATTTTAAAATGTTTGTTACAACCATAGACTGTATAGGTTACAAGGTTACAACATGCAGGTGTGGCATGTCACCTATGGCTATACTATTTTAATGATTCCTTCTGGTGTGGTTGTAACCATAGATATATCTATGGTTGTAACCATCTGAGATTTCAGGAAGGTCTTATGTGAAGAAAAGTCGCAGAAGTGAAAATAGCAAAAATTGTCCAGCAGTACAGATTTTATTAACAGGATGTTGTGTATGTGACCCAGTTACATAAAGATGTCACACACTGTTGAAAACTGTAACCAGATCTTTTACTTTTTTAATATTTCCTTTAAAATTGATGATTCAAACTCCCTAATAGTTTATAATAAATGTTCTTGTTTTAATTATTGATTAATCTAATAATCCTTACAATTTGCATCTAGAACATAAGATTAAACAAGAATAAACAAAATAAGATTATACTTCACATTTTGCTTTAGTTTGGTTAGGGCTAGGTTAGGGTAAATAATTATATTTATGGACGCCTTGGTGTTTTAATATAGATTTTGTTTAACAACTTTTCCTGGTGTTTGCTTACATTAAGAAGTAGGAGAGGAGCTTCATACTAAAATGAAATATACATTTTTAAACAATATTTTTCCAAAATGTTGAAGGGGCCTTGTTGTTTCAAAAGTTATTTTAAATGGCTCCTTTTTGCATTGCAGCCTCAGACCACCTCTCTTCCCTTAGGTAACATACATTAACCTATCTGACCAGAGCTGACCTGCAACTGTATCACACTGCAGCACAGCTTCACAACAGAGCTTCGCAACAGAAACAGATGCTTCAACAGCTGTCTGTTTCATCCCTAATTATCGTTCCGGTAAGTTATTATACGTTTCATTTCTTTGTAAGAAAACAAGCATCAATCAGACACTGAGCGCCTCTCAACATTATGTCAATGTGTTGGATTAAGCCTTTCAAAGTCAACAATTTTCAGCTCAGGATGGTCTTGTTTCTATGGTGATCATTTTTTAACCTAGTTTACTGTGTTGCATGTGTGTGTTGGTTAGAATAAATAGACTGTGTTTGCAGGTGTTCAGCAGGTGTGGAAAGTATGCAAGTGATTAGATTTTCCTTGTTTACTCCAGAGTTGTTTTCCACCAGTCCTCTCGAGTCCCAGAGTGCTGTAATGAAACTGCAGGTTGTTTTAGGGGCTGAGGCCCAACTAGCAACACTTTTAAACTGTATCACGTATACCAGAAACTTCACCAGCACCCTCTGATGCTCCAGAAAGGCCATGTCAATTATACACAGAGTGAGCATGACCTTTATTGTAAAACACCATGCTTGATTAGCAGAATATGCATCACAGAGCAGCATAGGGGAAAAGCCACGACCACAGCAAGGGACACTCATTTCAAATTACACAGAGGGACTAGTTCAAAGTCCCCATGAAAATCTACAGGAATGGATAATTAATGTCAAATAAAAAAATAAGGAAAAGCCTCAACAATCAGTGTGTTCATATTTTATACAAAGGCTCACAATGTGTCTTAATCTGCTGGAAAAAGCCGTAAAAAAACAGAAGTGGTTTCATTATTATTACACCGTGCCAAAGTGGTACAAGGACTTTTATTGCATATCTTTTGTTCAACTATGTATGTTATAAATATTTATTTATTTATTTTACTCTACTGGTGCAACCATCATGGAACCCAATTTCCCCTTGGATAAATAAAGTATTCTGCTTATCTTATCTTTTCAGTTTCGATCGCAACTAGCATACATTTACCTGGTTGTTGGATGAAACACTTTAATCATCTTGAATCTTTTGTGAATCACTTCATCCCATTGATGACAGCTCCTTGGTAAAACATCACCTTGACCTACGGGAACAAGTACTTACTGAGTGAGCGACAAAATTATGAACTGATGTCTTCACTACAGAAAAAAAGCTGAACCTTTTGCTTTTACTACCAACACAGCAACTCCTAACACTAAAGTTCTAACTCTGCTATACTTTTACAGATCGACGTGGAAACAATATAGTTTATTCGTAGTTGTGATTCAACTATAAATATAAAAACAAACATTGCATAAATTAATTTGGCCAACACTTTTGTGCAAAATGTATCAACCAAAATGGAAACAATAGATAGAAGACCAAAAAAAATGTAAGCGCATTATTCTGAAACAAACAAATTAGAGGACATGTTTCAAGTGCGAATACACACTAGATCCCTGACGATTTTAAGTGTTAATAAAACAAGTAATTTCTGGGATAATGTATGGGGCAGTGTCGTCTAAGTCTTACTGTTTTTTCACCCTTTTATTAAAAAAACATATCCTTTATTTGTTCTTATTCAAGCAGGAACACAGGGGAACAAACAAGCAATCATAGAACAAGAAAAAAAACGTTGCCTAAAAAACCGAAGCAAGGAGATAAATCAAAGTAGGTTAACCATACAGTCGTCATGCCCTGATTTAGCCTGCTTCCTCCAGAATAGATGACCCAAAAGCTCTTCTACCCTCCCTTCTCTTCCTTTTCCCATGGCCCTGTTTGGAGAAAGGTTTTAGTTATAACACAGCTGCATGCCTGCTGAAAGTGAAATGACAGGATTAACATAATAAGCATAAGATAAGGAGCCCATTGCACAGGTTTAAACTAGAGGTTGCTCAGCTCCTTTGCATTTGAAGCTTTTTTACAAATTGTGCCAAGCAAGAAAGCTTTAAAACTCAAATGACATATGCAGACCTGATTAATTTGTGTTCCTTTGTGAGCACATGCCAAGAAATATAACAGTATTATTTGAAGGTGTTACCTTGAAAACAGTTGAATGAGACTGGATGTTAGCCAGATCACTGCTGCAGGAGAACAAATGATGGAGGTTTCATTTCTCTGAACTTGGATGCCAGAAGGTTCATGTCATGACTGATGGTATGCGTTAAATAAAGATGAGTGGAGATAAAAAATGAAAAGCTTGTGAACTTTTGAAATATGTGGCTTTTGAAGCCGTTGCTAAGAAAAAGAGGAATGAACATGACTAATAGTATACAGCCTGAACAGAATTGTGATTTCGCTTAATGCTAATACCAGCATGCTTACAATGACAATGCTAACAGGCTGATAATGTATATCATGTATATCTGGGAGTATGACTATGTATTTTGAAGGCAATAGGTCTTAAATCAAACTGTTGAACACATTTACATTTTAAGTTAATTCAAATCACGGTGAAATGCACATCAGTTCAAAACTGCATGGGAATCCTTAAGATATTTGAGTCTGGACTGACCTCTTCATTAGAGATAATTGTTTTGAGACATTTCAGCTTTTTACCTCTGAGCTACTTACACACAAATGAGACGACAGTTTTATTCCAACAGTGACATTTATCTGAGATACATACTATACCTGTTGCATTGTTGGAGGAACCCGGGACCTAAGATTTTCATTGCCATTTCTACACTGTAGCTTATGTGCATATGACATTAAAACCTTAGAGTATGTTGCATTATTCTATAAGGGCATCCACTCCATCCTGCCCAACATGATCTTGAAATCCTATAATCCCTTATCCTATCATTCAGTCAGTCATAGAACCGTGGGCAAATTTGACGCACAAATGTGCTCAAGCAAACACGCCAATGTCTATTCCCTCACTAAGCTTTTTATCAAGATGATTCTGTATTCCATGAATGTTTTAACAGTTTAAAAGGGCCAGTTTTGCCCCTGCTTTGTAGCTCAACTTCAGT